CGCTTATTGTTTTACTTTTGTTTTGGCTAAAAAATGTTTAAACATGATAAGAATTAACTTGACCAATGTAATGTTAATAATGTTATTCTTATAATTATCATAATATATGTTTGTGTTGTTAACTAATTTTGTGGCAGATAAAAACATGTTTCTCTGGTACAGTAATTATAATTAGGGCTGGAGAGTAGCAGAAAAAAATAATAGCTGTAGGGGCAGGGGGTTCTGTAGAGGGGGCACTGTAAGTAATACTTTCACACAGTTATAGTTTTGCATGAAAACTGAAAACTGTTACATTAAGGTCACCAAAAAAAAAAAAAAAAAATTATTAATGATATAATTTTTTTTTAATAAATAGAATGCATTTTTTGAATTAGTCAGTAAAACCATAAAAAAATAATAGGTGTAGGGGCAGGGGGTTCTGTAGAGGGGGAACTGTAAGTAATACTTTCACACAGTTATAGTTTTGCATGAAAACTGAAAACTGTTACATTAAGGTCACCAAAAAAAAAAAAAAAAATTATTAATGATATAATTTTTTTTTAATAAATAGAATGCATTTTTTGAATTAGTCAGTAAAACCAACCACATAGTCATAGCAACATATAAAAACCTAATCAATCCGAATACAGAACTAGACTTAAAACATGGAAATGCCTTAAGGCATAATCATCTTCTTAGCCTTAGACTCTACTAAGAAATTTAGACTTTGACTTAGACTTATAATAATTTTTATTTGGCTAAATTCCCAGCCGACTGCGTATAACCCTGAGCGTTATACGCAGTCGGCTGGGAATAACTGATTAACTCTCAGGGTTATGCGCAACCGACTGGGTATAAGTATAAGTAGTATAACGCTTCCCATATTCGTTTGTTGCCTATTGGTAATATTTCTATAATTAGTTATTTTTCTCTCCCTTTTACTGACTTTTACCCACATGATCTTGGGATAACACCTGTGCTAAACTATAATAAAAATATGCAATATAAGTATTCAAGTATTGATTATTGATTGTAAGCCTACGCCTACTTACTCACTGTCACTGCTGCCTCAAGCAAAGCTCGACTCCACTGTAAGACTTAACCCTCTGGAGAGGTAAGGGCCAATTTATCGGCCCGAGGTACACTAGCGAGAAAGACGTCAATTCCGAGCCGTCGGCTAATAGATCGAGCCTAACGATTGGCTGGTGTGGTGTTGTACCAGCGAATCAAAATTATTCTTATGTATTTCTGCACATCCCGGCATTGTAATGGCGGCGCTTGTTGAAGGTGAACTCAATATATTAGTGTGCAGGAATTTTTTTTGTGTGTGTGTATAGTTACATCGTGAAATTCGAACATGTCTGACAGTGACTCTGATCAAACTGTGCTTAGCGATTTATATATTCTTACAGTGAATCTGACACTGAAAATTATGAAAACAACCAAATAAAGACTTTCAAATTGAGGGTAATGCTAATGTTGTGAACTTTTGGTTTAGTATTACTAGTATTAGGGGTCCTCAAATGGACAGAGATGACACCTCTGAATTTTTAGACAACATAAGTCCTATAAATAAGGCATAAGCACCCCATTTGACATTTGAGTACTTTATGCTATTTTTTACACTAAATATCACTCAAATGTTTATTAGAGAGACAAATAGATATGCAGACAACTTTCTCAGTAACATCCAGCTTAAGAGAAGGTCCCTAGGTCATAAATGGGGGCCTGTTACAGTGTGCCTGTAACAACTGAAAAATAGGGGGTGGCGGTGGAAAAGGAGTAGAACCATGTGCCAGAGGTGTCTGAAGGGCCTTCATGGGCCTTTCCCCCCAAAAAAATAAGTATTAGGACTTATTCAGGCTTCATCCATAAAAAAATTCACACAATTGATACAAGTAAGTCATAATCTAGGTGTAACAAAAAAATAAACGCATAAATTATGCAAATAAGGGTAGTTCATTTGCATAAATTTTGATATTTCAGTTTGATTTATAAAGATTGTATTAGTTCATTCAATTTCCTACAAGAATATATATAGTTTTACATATATTAAGGGAATAGTTTATTTTTTATACATTTTTTTGCAATTCGAGTGTCGAGGTCGTAAATAAATAGTGCTCCGTCTTTTTGGCACATACACCCCGAAAAGGCTCAGTCTCCAGAGGGTTAAGCTTAAACTTAAAGTTTTTAATTTGGTTTTATTAGAGTTTTAGAGTCTAGCAGCTTGCGACAAACACAGTAATTTTTACGATTAAGTATGACCCCAAGTCCAAGGATTAATGAAAATCTTTTTACCTACTTTATTTCCGTCTCAATCAAATAACATGGTTTCTAGCTGTGTTTATTTATTATTTGTTGTTACGGCATTTATCGGTCATCTACATGTTCTAGCAGTACACTCTACGGCGGCAATTGAAGTCATTGAGTTAGGCCCCCTGTTTCACATAAAATTTCGCACCCGGGTATCAGAAGTGAGAGGTTGGGATTAAAAAACTATTAAAAATATTATTGTTTGGTTTGTAAGACAAAATGAGGTATCAAATGACAGATAATTGAATGGCTATATGTTTGTAAAATTACCTCTTCAGTTTAACTAAAATAAACCACCACAAATGACATCCGAATGGGATTTAGTCTAAAGTAACCAGGGTACGCATAAGTTAACGCACTTTTTGAAAAAGTAGAAAATTAAAAATTTCTTAAAATGCTTTATCATGCAGAAAATGAGATAATATCTCTATTTGATAAACCCAAAGTATTCGAACCGAATGTAGACGAAACTTAAATGTTTTATTACTTTAAAAAAAAATAATTCTTTATTGACGTTCTTTTTAAAAATATTTTTTTTATTTAGGCCTATTACTTTTCAGTACCGTATTATAATATTAAAATTGTGATCTATAAATAATTATCAACAAGAGTAGAATTATTTACTTCTTTAAACATCGAATGTATTCAACATCCCAGTGAATTAACTTTTTACCTAGGCCTAGGCATAAAACTAAAAAAGTTGATCTGAGCCCACCCATTCACTAAACCTCAAAATAGATGCCGTCATCCAAAACAATTTGTGCAACATGGTCAACCCGCTTCCGTCGATACAGTATTCATTTCAAGCCATTCACCAAGTGAACACTGCACTAAAAATCTTAAAATGTCACGTATGTAAATTAAATAAAAGAATGCGCCATCCTCGCACAAGATGGATATGCCAGTAGAGAGAAGGTCTATGAAAACATTACCTGCACCCAGGGTGGATGGGACTCGTTGACCTTGGATGGCAACTTGTCTAATAGTATGAAAACTCCGACTTCAAATCCGGAGATGGGGTCCCATAGGCGGCATGACATTGACTTTCAATGAAAATTTTGGCAACTCCTGGGTTAGCCAGGTACGTTAAGAGAGGTGATATGCTGGCTAGGGAACCAGCTTATCCTACGAAAGAAAAATCCCACACCTTGTGATTTCGTCAAGTTAATTCTACACCATCCTCACCTTGTGACGGACGAATGCAAAAAAAAATAATTACATAAATAAATGTGTTTGATATTTTTACAAATATTTCTAAACTAATATTGATCTAACCATCATATTTAGCATATAATATCAAAGTTGTCATAAATTATCTTGCAAATCACATTTCTTTTCTAGCTTAGACGTTCTAAGAAATTACTACAAGGTGAGATGGTCCTATATTAAAATTTAGAGTTAATTTTTACTCCAAACTAAGAATGACAAATAAAATTTAACAAATGTTTATCTCTTCCCTGCAAATGAAACCAAATTTTTTTTATCGAACTGAGCAAATATTGCTGATAACACAACAGCAATATGATGCGTGATGTCTTTGGAGGCAGCAAAAAGAGAAGTATTGTGGCAGATGCAACGTTGTATAGAAGTAGGTCCCCTTCGTTAAGCAGCTGAAACAATGTCAGAGTCTACAACTCTGTTTCTTTGTCCATGAAACATTTAAAAGTTCAAGTTTATTTATTTGCTTGTGGCTAAGTGTGCAATAAAGTTCAAAATTGCCTTTGATGTAATTACTGGCGTTCAGAAAAGACAAATACGTCTCCAAAACCATCCTACAAATATATCACAAAATATATATATTCACAGTAGCGAAAATGTAATAATAATTCTCCTTTCACCACAAATGTATTAAATAATCAACTCTATTTTTTTGGCTCACAAAGGTACACAGCTTTTATAGCCATGCTGTCTAGCCATTGCACAAACCTACATTTACATGACTGAGTTCGCTCATGAAATAGGGAAATAAAATTGTTCTCTATGTAATAAACATGACACAACAAAACTACAGCAAGTAATCTCACTGTAAAAAGCATGTCTGCCAAAAAGCGTCTGTATGAAGCATCAAAATCTGCATCGTTTTCAAGAGGATAAAGAATAGTCAATCATTGTGCATGATCATGTGCTTAAATTTAATTCAGTGCAGTAATGATTGTCTCTGGAGTTACTTAGCAACCAGTACCAGCATTTCAGGACATCCACCTCATTTAATCACAAAAGCCAGACTACCCTAAAACACTGAATGGTAGACTCAGAAAGAAGAACTGAAGATTTTTCAAAGTGTACTCGGGCCAAAGGGCATATGCCCAAATGGCTAGTGGATCAGGATGATAGTTTAGTCTAATAAAAGTTTTGAAGAATGATTTACCTGTTCTAAAATAGATCTTGTGTATCACATTTTTAGGTTAAAAATGAAAAGAATTTGGGATAATAAAGGATCAACCTAGAAAATAGTGAAAGAAAATAGGTTAAAGTTGATTCCATGACTTAAAACAAAAGAAAAGTCAATGTTTCCCTAGCAAACTAGATACTTTCTCATTACAATTTGTATGTTCCTTTCTAAAAAGTTAATGATTTCCCCCTTACAAAATGCTCATATGATCTGATGGGTCTTAATTATAATTTAAATATAATTGTGTATTTTAAACTAAATAAAATTTTAAATAAGACAAAACAAGTTTCACAAAACAAAATTTAAAATCCAATATCCTTTTACTGCTAGAATGATTTTATTATTCACTTCTCTAATTCTTCATGATGAAGCTAAAGGGTGTTTCACATGTCAAAATTAACATGATTAAAACTTGTTAAAGATAAAATCGACTTTTCTCAACCCTGACATTTTGTATTTCCTTTACAAGAAAAAGCTAAATTGAATAAATTATTTGATACAATATTTGACAAAATTTTATTACCCTACAACTACTGAACTAATTATATGTTTCAAAAATGCAACAGCTAAATTTCAGCTCATTAAATGATAGAGTCAGATTATTAATATTAATATACTGGTCATAAGTTTATAATTTATTTATTATTCCTGAAGATATTTTAAATGCTACAACATCTTTAAAAAGAAAGTATATAAACTAAAAAGTTACATGATAAACATACAGGGTATTAATCAAATGTGAGGATTTCAGAGGCAGACACCAGGGTAGTAGTAGGTATCACTTACAGACAGGAAGGTGACACTAATTATGCATAGTGTTGATTCTGATGAAAGTTAAAAGCAGCATGACAATAAAATATCCATTGCTAAAGACAGCTCCTGTGGTCTGCTCTATCTATATACATTTATACAAATACTACATATGTACATCTTTGATCCCTGGTCTAGGCTGTCTGATCTCCAAGAGTCAAGTTTTGAACTTCTAGGACCAATTTGCACTCAATCATTTGTTAAGAATCTGGAGTGAGAAATGGCACTTGTCTCAATTCTAAAGAAAAGTCATGCCTATCATTATACAATCATCTTTATGTACCAGAAATATATTTTTTGTAATCTTGACAGTAAGGTGTGAATTTTCATTTAAAAAATAAATTAATGTAAGTTCAGTACAGATTTTTTTAAATTCACCTAGTATAAAATATAAAACACAAGTTTATTTTTTGCCATTATAAAATGAAAATAATATTTAAATGCCGTAATTGTATTAGTATTAGGCTATGCAGGAAATAGCTGATTGTTTGGGTGAACATTTCCAGTTTGGGATGTTTGGAATTTACTTGCCTAACATGTATACTGTACTGGGATTGAACAAATTTAGAAACACATGTAATTCTGAATAATACTTTCCACACACCAGACTTGGATTCGACCAGCACTCACCCCAAAAGTTGATTTTTTCCTTAAAATTTGATATATAATATAAAGCAAGTTAATTTAAAAAAAAACAAAAAACAACAGAATCAAGTTCACATTAATTTTCACTGCTAAAAAGTATTAAGGAATAGATAAAAGAAATAATTTCATTACATGACTTAGAGACTTTTCATTTAACAGTAAAATCAAAATAAACTTATTCACGATGAAGTATACATATTATTATATGATTGGAGTGAACCTCAATACATGTTAATTATGTCAAATAAAGTTCATCACTTTGCAAGGTGACATGATCTACCACAATAAACCTTCAAATGTAATTTTTATAATTTCATGTATAGATGTAATAAAAATCCCAAAATTAATTACTGAAACAATTTTAAGATTAAGAGCTACATTGGCAAGCATTTATTTAATATAAATCAGGAATTTATGGAGGAATACAGAACAAACAGTTTTATACAAACCACAGCCAATCATAAATTATTTCAGAAATGTTTACAATTTAATTAAGCAAGCAAAATATTTTTTAGTCCAAAATCGATTCCTTCTTTGCCAGTTGACTGCAACTCATTAATTTATAAATATATATATTTTTTTAAAATACTGATATTTAAAACTGATCAAATATAACATGTTTTCTTGGTTTACAAACAAACATCCTGTAATTGTAGGTGCCAAGGGCTAGTATATTTTCTGCTGAATTTCTTATTATTTCTGTTGGCAACCATGGAGTAAAAATAACCCAGAAACTTGCAAATTATGCTAACTAGACATCATTAGTAATTACAAACTCTCAATGTAAAGCACATAACAATCAACCAAATATGTTTATCATCAACCCCTCAATGATGCAGTATTTAAAATAATGCCATTGTCATCAAGCATAAAAAATGGCTAATATTAATAATGACCAAATTCTGACGGTTAGAGAAATAAATTAATGTCATGCTACTTGTCTCTTTTATTCAATACCGCTACTGCTAATAAAAAATGTAATAAAACTAAATTTTACATTTTTGTTTTTAAAAACTCTTTCTTTAACAAAAGCCATTAAACTAGCCTGGCAGAATCTTCATCGGAAATGGTAGGTTAGCTGCAAGAAAGGTAATCCCGTAAAATTTTAATTTTACGGATTTTATTTTGAAACTATTAAGGGATTAAAACCAGACTTGAAAATAAATCAAGCTGAAAGAAAAGCAGAGGTGTAGATAAAATGATTTTAACATGGGGTAATTAAGCGGCAATAATGAATAAAAAAAACTCATTGATGTTTCTCACATATCTAACACTGAACAAACCTGACAATACCACTGACAATGATTGCAGGCATAAAAAGCGATCCACAATTAAGGTGTGCCACTATTATCATAGTTTACTTTTGTTTCTTCATTTACCTTAAGCTTCAATCACAGCATGAAAAACAAATGAAAAACATACACAATAATTTGTAACCAGTGTTAGATCAAACAGGAATTAAACTTCAATATTTATTAAAATATTTGCAATTGATAGATCATCTATGTAACTTCATGTGTCATTCATTTCAAATGAAAAAAAATTTCAACATTTAAAAAGTATACCACATAGCATATGGATAATATTTCTGAGTATTTATATGTGTAACAGGGGTTTTATATTACTGCATTAAAATGTCCAATGCCCTTTATGTACCATTTAACAGTTTTACATAGCATATATAGCCCCATGACGACAAATTAAAATCTGGTGCTTAAGATTTAAAATAATTGTGTTAAAATTTAAAAGCAAGGCAAAAAGGTTATGAAATAAGGGAGGGATTCAAAATTATCAGAGAATATAAAAATAAGCATAAATCAAAAGTGATTTTAAAAAAAAGAAAGATTTAAATAATGCATTTTCTTCTTTTTCATAGAAAAGTAAGATTATTGTTATAAGTAGCTTTGTGACATAATTGTACACAGCAATATAAAGTTTTTCAAACTTCTATTTCCACCCCTTGTATCACCAAGGCTAACCAAAGCAAGAAAATGTATCCTTCAAGAAAACTGTGATTTTGCCTCCTTAAACCTAGAATATAACATTGTTTGGTATTTTGAAAGGTTCAACAATTTACAATGTGTCTGTTTGGAAAAAGTATACAAGTTTGTAAAAAAAAAACTAACTTTGAGCATTCTTTGATGGGAATCTTGTATTTTTTAAAGACAAAAACAACTTTTTAAAATGTATATTTAGGTTTAGCTGAAAGCTGTCGCATTGTTGTTTTTTTTAACTTAAAAATGCTTCTAACCAGAGTTAAAGAATTGGTTCCTAGTAAGAATCTGATGATATTTAAAATACATTTTTTATTAACAACAAAAAAAACACTTGGAAAAAATTGTGAGCTGCTTGGCTATATATAAAAAAAAAAGCCCCTCGAGTTAAGTCAAAGAGAAATTTAACTCATTTTAAATTAATGGAATTTTAAAAAATATCTGAACCAAAAAACCCCCAATAAAAGTCATCACGCTCAATTTAAATCAGGTTATATGAAAAACATAAGCTCAACTTTTAGAACTCCATGCACTCACCAATTTGATGTTCCCATATTCAAATCCATTTAAATTTACACATTTAAGAAGCCTTAATATATTAATTTTTTTTAAAAGAAAAAAATCTACCTCCCTCAACCTCTCTGAGAAGTAAAACAATGCAATCTAGTAAACATTTGTATATACAATATTTAAAAAATTCAAGTACTGGCACAATTAATGTAGATTTTTTTTTATCAGCATTTTATTTCCCTGGCTATTTAGTGACCAGGAACATGACGAGCCTGAAATTGATGGTCTTGGAGGCTAACAACTTGTTGCACTCAGCAGAATCAATGGGTAGGTCCAGGTACTCTGTCTCAGCCAATTCTCCAGTGAACTCAAAGTTGTAGATCTTGGACTTCATCTTTATGCCACCAAATGGCCCACTCAAGGCAAGAAAATGCATCATCATCTAGGGACAAAGTAAATATTTTATAAACAAAGATCTTTTATGCCTTACAGTTTGGAACTTTATTACACTTGACATGATCAGTGATTGCATCTCTGCCCCAACATATCTGAGCTGACTAAATTTCTCCATGTTCCACTTGTAAAATAGAGCTGGAAATTGCTACATAGCTTAGAATTAATGTAAATTTAAATCTACCAAGATGTAGCAAACCCCTGATTTACCTATTATGAAATATCTTTCAAAACATGTATTAGATTAACCTTCATTCATTATTGCTGGTTCGCTGTTATAAGTCGCTCAGCTTCTAATGTAAAGGTCATGGGTTTGATCCCCGTTCTGGCCTATTGAAAAAAAACCACTAACACTATTAGTAATAACACCAACTGTGTCATTAAAATTCCCTTGAATTTAAAAGAACATTTATCGTATTAACATATAATAGATTTTGCGATGGAAAACTCAGGTATTTTGTTGCTACATCTTGTTTGCAACTTACAGGAGCAGTCAATTTTGATTTGACAACAAGCTGGTAAGACAATGATCTGTTGACGGTGTGAGTTGGGTTTTTGTGATCCGAATTAATCTTTGCTCTAATGACCCATTGCTGGTTGAAGGCAGTGAAACGTGTAGTCTCATAGTAGAGGCGGGTAATGAAGTCATCTGTACGGAATGGTTTTAACTGGAGATCTGAAAATTAATTAATGCAAAGGTAATTAGCCATAAAATAAAAGAAATTTCAAATGTTGTTAAAATGAAAATCATAAGGTTTATACACAGCGTTGAGTTATTCATTGATATAGCTGGATAATCAAAATTGTACACCAATCAATCAGTGTGGGTAAATTAACTCCCCCCCCCCCTTCCCAACTGACTAATATGTTTATAATTCTGCATCTAATTATTTAATTATTATGGAAGAATTGTAGATCTAAATAGTTTGGATAATACTTAAGCCAAAGTTAGTTTGATCATGTTCCCCCATTTCTGTTTCTACAACTTTTTTTTTAACTTCGCACAAAATTAAATGGCATTTACCATTAAATGTGATTTTCTCAAATGAAAGTAGAGAAAAGATGTCATTGTATAGCTTCTGCTCCTCTTGCTGCTGTGTGTCAATGAGCTCCAGAGCCCCCATCACTTCCTCTCCAGTCTTCATTGGATGGGCACAGTTACTTTCATGATCCGCAATTTCATGAAAGGGGCCCTCCCAGTGGCAACCGATTCGAGAGTATCGGCATGAGCAGGGCCTGGAATAAGCAGAGGGTGGCCTGTTAGCTTCACACTTACTTGGCAATGAGGTTAATGGGAAAAGTAATACTTACACAACTATCTTGATGGAACTTTCAGAACAAAATGCTATGAGGAGCTAATGAAAGCCCTCGTAACATGTTGTATAGGAAAGATCTTTAAGAAGTAGCTACCAAGGAGAAGCTCTCACACTTTTGGTCAGGCTTTAGGGTCTAAGACGACCTGAAAAAACAACTGGATGGAAATGCAACAAAAGGAAATGAACACAACTTTTTTTTAGATAGACAAAAGGACATCACGGGTCTGTTGTTCTATCAAACATTTCAATTCTTTGTAGATGTAACCACTGGCTGCTTTGAAAATACATAGAGCTTTGAATATTTTTTTAATTGTTTTTTTTTTCCCCAGCAGATATCTGCAGGTAGCAGAGTAATATATTTACAAAAGGTCATCCCTCATTTAGCATCATTACCAACATAGAATTTAAAACTTAAAGGCAGGATGCATTCTACTTTATGTCTTGGATACCTTTGCTGCAAAGACATAAGTGAATAAAAGCTATAAAAAAAATGTAGTTGTTTTTTACAGTCTGTTTTGAATTATAAGAAGAAAACCTGGAAAAACGTCTAAGTTTTTAAAGTCTCAGCTTATTAAAAAGCATCAATATATATACATGTCAAAATGCATCATATCTGAAAATGTCTGCAATCAAAATTTGGCTTTTCTGTGTAACTAACCAGAAAGTGCTACAGGGTGTAAAGATTGCCCATTGTAAATTTCTTACTCAAGTAGTATCAAAATCACTCAACAAAAACATACAAGATAGAGACTAAGAGGAAAGACATAGAAAGTAGATTTAAACAAGCCAGGCAAAAAAAATTAACAACAGCGGAGCTGTGACATTACAGACCATCTAAAAAAGGCTCATTTTATTTAAAATGAAAAATGGTATAACAAATTTCAGCTTTGAACAAAATTTAATAAATTTTGGTCTATAATTTTGAAAATAATGTGAGCTTATTTTTAGAATGGCCATCACTGTTTTATAGAAAATACATCTTCGGATCAGTTGCCAATGATCAGACAATGACCTGAATGGTTTCTATATTCACATGCCCCAAACAAAAACAATTACAACAGAGATAAAAAAATATATATTGTTAGACATTTCAAAATCATTTTATAGAAATAAAATTAGCTACGTATAAAAAAAAATATATTGAGTAGACTCATAATACTAGCATTAAATCATATCTTTAAGATACCCTCTGTATTTACACATCCCAGACCCAGTCTATAACCCCAAGGTTTAAACCCCCATATTTAAAATTGAAATCTTGTAAAACCCTTACCAAACCCATCTATAAATTCATTTTTTTTAAATGCCATTCGCCATCTTGCTTTCATGACCATAAGCTGATCTTAACAGCATGCATTCACCATTCACTCCTTTATACTGATAAAACACCACAGACCCATGACAAAGAGAGAAAGATACTTGCCGCATAAAATCAACAGATGAGGAACTGTTTCATGTGTGAACTGATACAGCCTTCACAGGAAACAACCAACACCTTTAGGAATGGCTCACTTTTTTTCTTCTTCAACCTGCAACTTGGGATTTGTTCCGCAATCCTGAAACTGACACTTCCTGCTGCAAAGAAAATCTGCCTGCTTGAACAATAGAAAAACAAAACAAGTGTGGTTCTGATTAGCAATACATGGCTCAGCTGCCCGCCAGTCTATCATGGGGGGAAAAAATCCTATCTAGGTTTAGGTACCCTTGTCATGCTGCCTGCACCCGCACGTTTGGAAAATCCCCATCAAACATGCGCGAGCCCCAGCTTTGACAGCCTATCTAAGACTGGGCGAGCTGCTGAATTAATATTGCCTGAAAAAGAAAACAAAGTTAGTTAAACAATAGGGTGAGGCATGATAGCTTACCCGAGAGTGACCTTACCTCTCCTGACACAGCTCCCTCTGGTGATAATCCAACTGGTAACGTGGAAGTTTCTGGTTACAGAAGGCGCAGTCAGATGGCAGCTCTGACACTGCTTTTTCCACCGCTAAATTTCGGATGCAGACATTGCGATTTATCTCACATCGACAATTAGGGCAGGTTGCAGTTTCATCTTTAATGCGTGCATCTGCTAACAAGTGGTTGAAGCAGCCAGCACACATAAGATGCCCATTGCTGCACTGGAAATAAAAAGGAATCGATTCAATAAGCCTATTGCTTTTTATGTGATCAGTTCTATACTGCAACATTTGAAGAGCGAAATTGTGGCACATCTTCAGAGTAGAGATGGATTTATTAAATGACTTCATGACTTTAGCACAGATAGTTGGAGAGAAGTTGGAGCACACACCAACACCCCCCCCCCCCCCCCCTTACAAAAGTTGGCCTTTTTAGTTTGTAAACACTAGTTAAGATTACTTTAAGCCTTTAAGCAAAAAATTCCAAAAAATGTATGGACTACTCGTCTTGTCCCAATCTCAAGTGCAGCGCAGATCAAAAGGGAATAGCGTGGATAAGAAAGAAATTCACTAAATGGGAGTGCTTCCATTGCCTGAAAGTAAGCCAGCTGAGCTAGTCAACAATTCAAATGTGTACTGCTGCCCATTGAAGCAAAAATAATTCCAAGATCCAGCAATACAGTCACAAAATGTTTTTTGCAACCGGGCCATGCTAAGGGAGCAAAAGGGTTAGCATGACAGGGTCTCTTGTGTTGCACTGATTTTTTTAAAATCATTATTTATTAAGTAGTTTAAACAAATAACTTAATTACTATATGTTCTCCTTCATAAGCCGATCCTCTTAGTTTTGGCAGGGAAAAGCCTCAAAAGTTTTTAACCCACTCACAAACCAACCCCAAAAATAACATGCCAGTAGAAGCAGTACATCAGTACTAAAAAAATGTTCGTTCTTTTTAAAAAAAATTATCATGCAAGTAATAAGACTTAAAAACAAATAAACATACATTATTATGTATAACACCCATATTCAATTTGCTTGACTACAGGTATATACGGTAACTATATGGAACACTACCAAAAATAAGGCATCATGATTTCATTATTAAAAGTAGGTACTTTGATAACCCATCATGGCAGTTGCTAAATGGGTATAAAACATTTGACCCAATTTTGCACATTCTTTTGACCCAATTTCGCACATTCATATTTCATAAATTTCTTTTCAGCCTAAGTCAAATTTGTGTATGCTTATTTGAACATTTGAGCTGGAGTGGAATACCTTTTTATGATAAGAGTATAAATAAGAGTAGGCCTCACTTAACTTAACCCCTATAAGGGCCTACTTCTGGCCTAGTATGTACAGGCTGTTTTAAGCGAGGCATTATGATCTTGTAGTTATACTTCAAATGTGTATTGTAGTATTCCCTTACCTATTCTATACTCTGAATTCTGAATACTTAACCAATTATTTGACTACATCTTCAACTAAGTTTTTTGCACTCCTCAAAATTGTAAAACTAATTTAAAGAATCCTACTGCCCCTAGAGTGCCTAGGGCCTACAAGAAAAGTAACAATTATTCAATGCATTTTTAAATTGGGGAAGATATTGACTTATAATTGGCTTATTGACTTATTGAATTATAACAAGAAAAAGAGACCTGTAGACTGTAGAGTAATCAGTAATGTGTGACTTATTACATTCATAAAGTCTGCAGTTACAGCCATAAATATGCTAAACCTAAGTAAGACTAAACTAAGATGCCTAGACTTATCTTAGTCAATAACTTAATAAGTTGAATAAGTCTTATTTACTCTATTACTGTTTTTTATAAGTATAACTTATAATATTAGCCAGTATAAGTATAAAAGTATAAGCTATAATTTTAGATACTATAAAACAAGGGAGACTACAACTTTTTGTGTATCGGAAATGGGCGTCGGCGCCGAAAAATCCGAGTTTTTAATTTTCCGATGTGCGTGTCTATTTATTTGTCTATTTGTGAGTGCTTTCGACATATATTTCAGTTCCGTTTACGGCCTTATAATTTGGAAGACATCTTGGCCTACATCTCCAACCAGCTATTTTGCTTTTTTCAATCAACCTTTATTTTGAAAATCTTTGGTATATATAAGGCATCTTCGCATACAAATTTTTTTGTGAAATAAAGGGAACATGTCTTTTATATTAAATCGTGTAAAGCATTAGATATTGAAGTATACGTGTGTCAATTCTCATTGATGTAGGTCTTGTCCCACGTTTGTTACGCTTATCCAAGTGACCAATGTCACCATAAGGTCAGTCAGCCTAAATTCGTCATGGCGGGGGCCACGCCCCTTTTTAATGGCGGAAGTTGCCGATACTTAAGAAATATTTAATTATTACCGCTATATACATCAAAATATTTGATAACTTGTGTTTCAGAAAGCATTTTGAAGACATTTAAACTGGAATGTTTAATTTAATGTTTAATGTTTTAATTTGAGCTTTAAAAACCCGGCAGAGTCCATATTATAAATGATCAGAATTTCCCGTGTGCAACACGTTGTCATTGGCAACCATTCACAGCCACTTGCATAACGGCTGTATCGTAGTACTACCTCAGAGTTTCATTCATAAGAGTTTGCCGTGTGCAAAAACTTTTAAACCATTTGTCAGGGAATGCTTTCATTAATTATTCATGTGCCAAAGTTGAAAGTTTAAAATAAGTCGATCCTAAACAGTACTTAAAGTGATGACGGGATTTGTTGCCTTATATAAACTATATAGTCATTGCGCATGACGCGATCGGCGGAATGAGGTCACAGAATGTGGAGATGCAGTCCATGTTAACAAAAGGACAAACCATGTCGTACTTTAAAAATTCATAACTTTAAAACTACAACAGCTAAAAATATGATTTTGGTGTTATAATTCTGTAAAAAAATAGCTCTATTCAACTATGCCATTAGTTTATTTTTACAAAATGTTTAAATTTTTGACAAAAATACCTACTCATAAAAAATATTAGTATTTTCTCATTCTCAATCTTCTCTTAGAATTAACAATGACTGTAAAATACAAAGAGCTCAGTTGAGTTGCCCTCAAACTTAAAGGTCATTGCCACATTACAGCTGATAAATGTTGGTTGGTTGTTACAAAAGGGGCGACATAACTGGTGCAGCATTTATCTTATTGTCAATTATTTATTAGATCTAGTAGTGGTAGTTTCACTAAGCCTACTACTACTATTATACTTATACTATTATTACTATTACCTGATAACACGTTTTGGGGAGATCTAAACAGACTGCACAACACAGAATGTCGCTGAGTCGATCTTCAAGCTTATGCTTGCCATCAGCATGCACATCTGATACTTTAATTTTTTTGTTGGGAGGCTCATATGATGAAACATTTTCTTTGTCAGCTGAAGATTCACGGAGCACCTGTATCGACGAGTCAGAGCCTTCCTCCATTTTGTTTGTTTGTAAATTCTGGATGACGAAGTCGGGCAAAGTCAGCTGACGTCACAATTAACCAATAAATGCAGAGATATCAAGACATCGGCTATTTCCGTAAATGTGGAATGCATCACGGATTTTCAGCGAATAGTTCCGGACTAGATGGGCGTTAACCATTAGGCCCCGTCCGTTCATTACAGTAGTAGACCCACATTATTTTCTTATTTTGTACACCATCAAGTCGTCATTAACGGCCATGCTTTTAAAGTTAAAGTCTTCACGAATACAATTTTCTACAATAAATTAATAAAGCATCCAATATGCGCTTCACAAAATAAATTTAATCAATAGTGCTTTTAGTTAATGTCTATTTTTACTTTAAGCGCCATTTGGGTTGGGTAGGATGAGGCATTTGACACCCCCCCCTCCCCCTGAATTTGCAGGTTTTTATTTCAAATGCTATGTACTGTAGCGCCGCCAGTTAACAAACCCACCAAGTTGTTTGCCCCCTTCCCCAACCCTTTTGAAAAAGCCTGAAATGACTCCCTGCAGCAAATATAAAACATATGATATCGATAAACAAATAGAATATGGAAACGTTAACAATAAGATATTATGATTGCGTTTCCCATCTTGTGAAACCAGATGATCGTGTGTATCAGTTCCGTATTATGTTTAAATAATCATTTAGGCTTCTTAGGCCTACTTTAAATTAATAAGTTAGATATATAGTGTACTGTATGAATAAATGAGCTGAAACTTGGTGCAACCCCTCCCCGATGAAAATTAGAGCCCTTCAGGATCAATAGGATACCAGTTACCTCAACTGACCATTGAGTTCGGGCCTCTGCGGGTCAAGTCTTGCATCTCAATTTTGACCCATTTCTATAGATTTAAATTTAAACCGAGCTTTATTAATTTTTATACTTTTTAATACAAAACGAGTTTTATTTTAAAAAGTATTGTTTATATTGTTTTATTTATGAATGATCTTTAAAAAATAATAATTAAGTATTTTGAACAAATAAATAGAAACAAAATAAAATAATAAAACAGCGTTAGTACTTGGTGACAACTAAAACTAAAGGTTTTGTACAATCACATTCAGGTCTGGGAACCTAAATTACCGCTACCATCTCTTCTGTTGTTATCCGATTAAGTATAGAATGATAGAAAACTTAATTCCCATCAGTGATTATTTCAGAAATTTACCCCCCCCCCCAAAGGGGGGGGGGGCACTTCAGCTTTTTTTTTTGGGGGGGGGGGGGGGCAGTGCCAGTTGATTTATTGTTGGACATATTTTCGCTCCGGGGGCACTTGGCTTGAATTTATAAAAAAATTCTGGGATGGGTTCCCACCCCCCCCCGATTTCCCCTAAATTTCTGCGCCCCCCCCCCCCGCCTCAAATTGTCAAAGCCACAATCCCGAGACCCTTTTATTTATGTGAAAAGTTATTGTAAACATATTTAATGTTAAGGTGTTGGAAATACGAAACTTAACCCATATAATCATATAGGTTCGATTTGTTGACTTTATAATTATTTTGGTGTCTGGGCCTTTAAAAAAAAAATATAATGTCTGCTTCCAGTGGCGTAGCTTGGGTTGGTGTCACCCGGTGCGGTAAACTCATGGTGTCACCCCCCCCCCCCCCCCCCCCCCTTCTTTTTTTTTTTTTTTTTTTAAAATTTCAAACACAAAAAAAAAAAAAAAAAAAAAAAAAAAAATCTGCTTCCAGTGGCGTAGCTTGGGTTGGTGTCACCCGGTGCGGTAAACTCATGGTGTCACCCCCCCCCCCAATTTCCATGATGTTTTTTTTTCTTGTTAAAACAGGTCCACAATATAACAAGAACAAGAACAAAAACAAATAAATCGAAGGTCATGAAGTTAATATATTTAAAAACGTTAATTTATAGCTGTATTTACTTTAAATTTACAATTTAAAATTTTCCTTTCCTTGTCTTCAAAGCTGCAAACCTGTCAATCACTTGATCAAAATCAATGTTTTTCACTGTATGACTTTCAATTGATAGCAGAGCCACACCAGAAAACCTTGACTGTCACATGGTCGATCATAAATATTTCTTGATAAGCCTTAGTCTTAAAAAGCTCCGCTCACATGAAGCCACATACACACATATCGTAAGAAAAATTAAAGGCTTAGCGAGAGTATTATAAGAGATTCTATGAAGTCCCATTCAGCTTTGAATTTCAAAACAAAATACTGACCATTCCATGACTTTGAGAAATCTTCTGCTTTTAGATGTCTTCTAAGCCTTGATATTTCTTTTTAAAGTTCATCTTCTGATAACTCATCATTGAAATAAGTTAATTTTGGAACGGACACCAATAACTCTTCTTCACTTGCTGATACCAGACTTTTGGGTTGAACAGACCCAAACATATCTGGTACTTCCTTGATCACTGATGATCTGATGTGGAGTTCAGAATGAAAGCGATCAATACACTCCAGCATCTCCCTACTGTTTTCTTCTCCCTGAAAAAGTCCAACATCTATTAATTAATAGTTCTCCTGCCATTCTCTTCTTAAACCTTCATCTTCTCTCTACCGAAATTCCATATTGGTCTGATTTTCAAAGTGCCTTTTCAATAGCATATTCCACCAAATGACAGCGCTTCTCGTGCAGAAACAATCTTAAGGCCTCCAGGTTTGTCAAAACTTTGTCAAGAGTAATCCCTTAAATCTGCAGATAGTGCTGTGTAAGATTAACTTCCTCAAGTAGATCAGCCCAAAGTTACAGGTAGCAGATAAACATGAAATTACAGACAGCATGGAAAAGATCTTCTGCTTAACCTCTTGTATGCAAATTTTTACAAGGTGATGACAGAGCTTTAATCGCCTTCCAACATTCATCAAACTCATCTTTCACTGTTTTAACAGCAGCATGATGAGAACTCCAACGCGTTGTTGACTGTCTTTTCACCGACATTCCAGTGCGTTCGATTAGAACATTCCATCGATTATTGGATGCAGCAAAGAAGGAAAATATTCTTTCAAGAGTACCGAATAATGTAATACATGAAGCATGTTCTGCAAAAGAGTGTTGACCACACAAATTAAGTAAATGGCTCACACATCCATTAAAAATTGCTTTCTTATTATTTCTTTTCCGAATTGCTTTGAACAACTCCATGGATTCCATACATTAGGGCAGCATTATCGTAACCCTGAGCTCTGAACATAAGTATGTCTAGTCCATCACGCTTTAGTTTGTAAGAATCTCAGAACTGAGGTCATCAGCTTTTTTCAATCTTAACGGGGGAAAAGCAAGAAACACTCCTTCACTTCAACTTTCCCACTGTGGATTATCACATATCTGGTTACTACAAACGTCTGGTCACTGTGTGATATAATACTTCCAAAATACCTCGCAGGCTTTATATCCATGATAAGAATCTCCTTCACATGATTTGCAAGGACACTTATAAATTCATTTTGGGTTTCTGGTGAAAGGTAAGATAACTTTTGGGTTTCGACATATAATATTATATATGTCTTCAAAAACTTTTCTTTATTTAAACTTAAATAAAAAAGAATTAATCATTAAAAGATTGAAAATTGTGTAAAATAATATAATTTTTAACCCTATCAATGGGTAAAATTCATTTTTAATGTTTTTAATTTTTACCAATTTTTATACTTATAACCGCCCGACCACAGTTATTTGGTTTCAATGGAAAGCCATATTTCTCAGAATTTAGATAAATATAGCCTCCTGTCACTTAAGTTACCGAACACTTTAAATGGCATTGACTGTGTTTTTCTGACCTAAACATAGGGTCATCACATTTCTGATCAATCTACCTTGAACTTTTAATAAAGCATGCATTTGGATTGGTTACATTTGTGAAAAATGTATGTGTGATTGTTTATCCTTTTATGAATCTCGGTTAGACTGAGAACTGTGTGCTATGTAAATATGCAATTTTTCAATCGGGTGTCACCCCTAAAATGGTGTCACCCGGTGCGGTCCGCACCCCCCTCGTTACGCCACTGTCTGCTTCCCTAGCGTCAAAATTTTATTGCGCTACTGACTTACTGACTTTGTAGTAACGTTAAGAAATTTGTAATTCTACATATTAAATCGTATTCGACGTTAGCAGAATTAAGCAGTAGCGTCACCAGGGGGTGCGGAAAGCAGGGGAGTGATACCAGTGGCGTAGGAAGGGGGTATCTTAGATAGCCAAGACTTAACCGTACGTGAACAGACACTTAAGTCTTCAGGGCTATGTTCAAATAATCCCATACACAGTTTAACAGTGCACCATAGTGTCTTAGGCTGCTCCTTTTAAATTATTTAAAGAAATCAGCCTTTTTATTTGTGCGCGGAAAAAAAAAACCCTCGTAGTTTTTGATAGATTTACATTTAAAATGCTTAGCTCCCATCAGTTATTACCGGGTTGGATAGCGCCACATCGCAGTATTTTTTTTTCTTTCTCTAATGTTACAACCATTTTTAAAAAAAAATATTGTTTTACAAAGCATTTGGATAACATAAGTGACCCCAATTTTGGGGTTAAATAAAAAAAATAAAGAAAAAACCTGTCAAGCAGTGACGGTTGAACCCAGGTAAGAAGGTCGCATTTTTTCGGACTGGAATATTATATTAATCAATAAAAGCCACGAGTATGGTGTAGGATTGTCTGTAGCACTATCTGTAGGATGGTCTTGCCCTGGGATCCGGTCGACAAGTGGTGGCTTGTCGATTAGGATGCGCCTGCCACCGGAACCCCTGGGCGATACCCAGGGAACAAAACCCCCCATTGCATGTCCTGCGTGGGCAGACAAGGGACATGCATGGTACCTGCCGGAATAACAACAGGTCTACATGGCTGCCAACTGTGACGCTCCACAGTTGGAAGTAAAGGCAGAGACAGGGTAGGGATCATGATTACAAGTTGCCGTTAATGGATCTGAGGCTAGAGGCGAAGGTGGTAACCTCTAGCCGATGATTCTAAATATGCAGTCCTGAGAAAGCTGCTCCTAGGCAACCGTTTCGTCCAAGCTACTTCTCAAACTAGTTGCGTGGTGGAAACCCACTGTAGAAACGCTCGTATAAGGCGTCTTACGCTTCCCCGAAATGGGTGGGGGAAAATATTACCATGCTGACTCCCTGGGAGAGTCGGCTGCGTACGCTTTAAACGCAAGGTTTCCGGTCGACCAGACGGCCCCGGGCGGGAAAAGCCTCCATCAGCAAATTATTTTAATCGATTCCATTCATGTAGGCCTACGCCCAACCACATCGTATTGTGCATCAATGAAAAATTTTATTTCTTAGAATTTATATGTACCGGTATATAGCTTCCATTCACTTATGAAAATTCCCGAACACTTCAATCGGCGTTGAATCATAGTCAAAACTGAGTTTCTCTGACCTAGTTATAGAGCCACCTCATGGAAGTCGGGGAAGGGGTGACACCATGAGTTTACCGCACCGGGTGACACAAACCTTAGCTACGCCACTGACATAGTTATAGGGCCACCTTATGGAGGTCGGGGGGAGGGGGTTGACACCATGAGTTTACCGCACGGTTGACACAAACCTTAGCTGCGCCATTGTCTGGAAGTTTGTTGACCAAGTGTCAAAGTTTCCATCAGTTGGTTTTGAAGTATTATCCTGAGCCCGAAGTGTCTTTTGAATCTCAGATTCCAATTGTCTTTTAAGTGGTCATATTGTTTCCTCAGGTTCGTCATGCTAAAATCCAAGATGTTCAACTTCTTCTTTTACATATTTCTGAAGAATCGTATTTTTGGTACCGGGGTAGGCAACTTTCTGAACATGGTTGCTATTTTTCGAACTTTGGCGATTAAATCTTTGAAAATGAAATCATTATTTTGATTGATCTCAAATGTAACATGAAAACCACAGTTGTCATTATCATCCACAGTCATTTTCCTCTTCGTGTTGATGTTGCTGAGGAGCTTTCTCTTTTTTGTTTTTATCAAGGAGTCTAAGAATGCAAGCTGCATACCGTGAGCAAGACACTGTTGGTGGTCTGCATACCGTGAGCATTTATCCAGTGTCACAGACAATATAATTCATCCATGCATCCAATTTCACAGACAGCTCCCCTCTTCCATTTATGCAGTGTCTCAGACAGCATAGTGCATATATTCCTCCAGTGTCACAGACATAATAAATCATTCATTCATCCAGTGTCTCAGAAAAATTAACTCTCCCATTCATCCAATGGCACAGATAGCCAAATTCAAACTCGTTACTGAGTGTGAACCCCAGAATTTTAGATGAGCCCTTCAATGTTTTAAGTATGGTAATTAGGGGAGAGACTGCAAGTAGGTTCGAAAAATGGAAATGAGTGAAACACAATAAGGGAAAAACTGAAAAAAAGATTTTAAAAAACGTGTCAGCAGGAAGCCTTCACCAGCGAACAAACAACATTAAAACATAATTAAATGAAAATAACACTTAGCTTAAATGTAGTATCAGAGAGGGCAGCGAGATGAATGTGACAGAAAATAGTAGGTGAAAGATTAAATACAGGCAAAAAGGGAAAGAAGGGAGGAAAAGTAAGTGCACTGCAATTTGTTGCAACGAGGAGGGGCGGAGGAAAAGTTGAACATGTGCAGGAGAACATGATATTCGTGCCATGTGATGTCAAGGTTTCATAAGTCTGAATCAGCTTGTTTTCCAAATTCACCCAGTTATGTGAATTAGTGCAGGTCACGACAGCACTTATAGTACAAATCCGCAGACCCCTTGTGACCACTTCTAATGAAATGTTTTTAAGTATCTTGTTACAGCTAATAGGCCCTACATGTGGCTGAGATACTGTCCTCTGCTTTCAAGAAATGATACAAAACTGATGTCTTTGTTTACTATGGTTTCTTATGCTTTTCTTTTCATATATAGCTCTATCCTTTTCAAGGTCTCACATTTCTTTCTATCAACCTGGAGATAAAATAAATCATTGTCAAAATAAATGTCAATTAATAAATATATTTAAAGTTTATTTTTTTTAAATCAAATTGTTTACATCAACCGCGACAGTCTTTAAAAAAAGTGTTCAACTTTAAAAATGTTTCAATGTTCAAGTAGGCCTAAACGTCTGGCCTGGTAGAGGGCCGACAAACATAGACATTCTATATTATGGGACATGATAACTCGAATATTATACCCCGACAAGAAAATCAAATATGAAGTGAAATTTTAATATTTTATCACATAATAGAAGTAACATTATTTTTATGTCTTCTTGAGCATCAAATAAGATTTAGGCATAGTTTTCAATAAGTATGTAGCCGGGAGGCCAGAGTTGGTAGTGATTGGTTGGTGACATAATTTTACCCTGCACGCAGTGCCAAAAAATGTAGCCGTGTGGTGAGTGACAGCCGTGTGGTGATTGACAGCCATGTGGTGAGTGACAGCCGTGTGGTGAGTGACAGCTGACAGTTTTACATATATATTATATAACTCAAGAAATTGAGGTCCTGAGAACTGTAGACTTTTCTTTGTTAGATTGTTGTATAACAGGAATGGTAAAATGAAAATCCTAAGAAAAAGTTAGAAGAAAATGGACAATATCCGAAAAGATTCAAATAGTAAGGATTAACAATGTCTTAACATTGAAGTACACACTAACACGAAACAGGTCAAATAACTCTGCAATCACAGGTTAATACAAATATACTTATTATACGGCTAATACCCAGTGCTTTTTTGGTAAAAAAAATAGGTGCCATACTCAGTGATGGAAATAGGTTAATAACCAATAACGTAACATTACGAGTGTGTGCGGAAAGCAGTTTCGCATTTTATATTTTAATTCTTATTTTAAAATAATTCAATTTTAACAAATTAATAACATAATAAATTAATAATAAACGTTAAAATACAAGAAAAAGTAATAATTTTTTCCCCACGTTGAAAAAGGTGCCGGTACGCCGTACCGGTGCGTACCGGCACAAAAAAGCACTGCTAATACCACAGATGCATGATGACTATATAATACCTGCTATAAAAATAGTAATTGATATTATTATTTTAATAGTGTTAAATTATAAACGAAATCATGTGGCAGTGTTTAACTTGTATTATGAGTACCGTCTTACTTTCAGAACCTGTGTGAGATGTGAGGGCCAACATACAGGTGTGAGATGTGAGGGTTAACAAACAGGTGTGAGATGCGAGGGCTAACATACAGGTGTGTAATGCGAGGGCTAACATACAGGTGTGAGATCTGAGGGCCAACATACAGGTGTGAGATGTGAGGATTAACAAAAAGGTGTGAGATGTGAGGGCCAACATACAGGTGTGTCATGCGAGGGCTAAAATACAGGTCTAGAAATTATTTTTATGTCATCCATATGGCTTCTATATAAGATGCACATATAGCAAGATGGTTACTAATATTTAATGAAATTTAACAACCGTTCATTTGATACTTGTAACAGTGAATCGCTGGGTCATTTCAAGACAAAAGCGCATTGCTGTACGTACAACCAGAACGCTGTGACAGTTAGTATTACGCTCACGTACACACTGCTATCTAATTCCATGTAACAATTCAGTGGAAGACTGTATGTTCAACCATCACAATATCATGGTTACAAGTCACATTGACTGCTGTATGTTCAACCATCACAATATCATGGTTACAAGTCACATTGATTGCTGTATGTTCAACCATCACAATATCATGGTTACAAGTCACATTGACTGCTGTAGATTCAACCATCACAATATCATGGTTACAAATCAAATTGACTAGCTAACAAGTGGTTAAAACATTGCCTCATATAAGCGTGGAGCAAAAATCTTCCATTACTAAAATCTAAAAATTGCATACTACAGACACAGAAAGATAAAGGTGTATTTGCTTCTACTTACAAAGTGCCCAAATGTTGTGGGGAGAAGAGCAGTTCGGCACTGCCCCACTCCCCATGCTTCTACTTACAAAGTGCCCAAATGTTGTGGGGAGAAGAGCAGTTCGGCACTGCCCCACCCCCCAGGAAACCCAAAAAGAGCCCCCCCCCCCCGAGCAAAAATATGTCACCCCCCTCCCGGGGAAAATTTCTGAAATTATCACTGGACCTCACCCCTTGGTTAACTTCCACGACGGTGTCTCAAACTGTGGTTTGTGGCACACTCACTGCCACAGTAGGTAATATTAATATTATATGGTACTATGAATAAAGGAAGCCAAACAATCAAACTGTGTTTAAATACAAAGTAACCGTCATGCCACTATTTCGCGCGCGCTTCTGGAATAATTATTTAATTATTTTACTCTGATAAATACGACATGGAAAATATAAAAAGCTATTAAATTATTTTTTGAAAATTAACTACTGACAATTTTGAAAATTGCTGTTTTCATAAATCAAATCAATGTATCTTGAAGCTATTGTTTTATTTTGGTATCTCAGCATTTTCGAAAGGCTGCACGGATCCCGGTTTATAACTATAACATCTAGTCTAGTAGTTATTATTTAAGGAAAGTTACTGATGAAAAGGCATAAGCTACGGGTGTTAATTTTCCCACAAACTGAAACTGGCTAATCCAGCAGAGCAGTGTTTTCCAAACCTTGGCTTATCTTGTAGAGCAGTGTTTAGCAAACGTATAAGTATGCCGGACCAGTGGATACGTTTCTTCCCGGCGCGTTTCCCCTTGCAATATGACCGTTGCCTTATTTAGTAGCCTACCGGGTATTTTTTTCAATTTTGTCTTTATTGTGTTATTTTTATTTTAAAAAATCCGCGATCAGCCAATGACAAGCGAGAACAACTAATGCCACTCGTAGCAATTTTCTTGAACTTTATTTAACTTTTATCCAGTTTCTTGTCTCGTGTTTTTTTTTGGACCGGCAACGTAAGGCTCTCGGACCGGAGCTAGTCCGCGGACCATCACTCTTGGAAACACTTTTGTAGGAAGGGCTTCATAGTTTATTTTCGGAACGGAATCATCGCCGTAACTTGTAAATATTGTGTCAAATATGGCGGGTCAACTCAAGAGAGCATCCTATCTTAAAATTGCCCGTCTATTATTTAAAGATGAAATTTCATTTTGTCCAGTATTTTTCTTCTCGGATAATATATCAGATGAACTGAAATATATCATTTATGTACGCAAAATAGAAAATATATTTGTTTCATATTCCAATAACTTCACTTATGACTTATGGTAACACTTACACTTACTTACACTGGTTACCCTGCTACCGCCTACTAAACTTACTGTGGTGATTCTTTATTCGGTAAATGTGAAGAGATAGCACCGCGTTTTTTTTATAATGGCGAACTTATGTCCTAAATTTTTATACCGAACCCTAAATTTATCCCTAACCTGGGTTTTGACCCTATCCTAACCAGGGTTTTGACCCTGTGTGAACCAGGGTTTTGAAGGGACAAAACACCCAAAAATGACTTCAAGGTTCCACTATGAACTTTAACAAGTCAAAATTCAGAGCCAAACTTATTGATGAGCATCTTCAAGATATACTGAGGGTCTCAGTTGCTTCCTCACTCAAGGCACTCAAACCAAAGTTGCTCAGCTGTGTAAGAAGTGCTGCCAGGTCTCTGGCAACAATGACAATGAGTAGGAGGATAAAAGTGAAGCCTAGTTCTTGAGAACTCTAAATGTTTTTATTTCTTATTTATAAAGGTTGGGCAGATTGTAACAGTTGTACTTTAATAAACTTGTAATCTTTTTTTTTTGTGGAATACGTTATGCTGACCAGTCTCAATCACTCTACCTTCTGCAGCCCCTGGATGAGTTGAGTTTGAGACCCCTGCTCTAAAAGAGGTCCGGTTAAAAATGGGGACGCCTGCCTTTTTTTAATCGAATTTCACGAATGTATCCCTAACTCGATCCCTATGCCTAACCTGAACCCTAAATTGATCCCTATGCCTAACCTGAACCCTAACTCGATCCCTATGCCTAACCTGAACCCTAAATCGATCCCTAAATCTAACCTAAACCCTAATTCACTGCAACTATAATAAAGACACAAAAGACACTGTGCCAGAGGTCCTTATTCCAGGCTTGACCCCCAGTTGGGTCATTGGCCTGTTAGGTTGTGGCTTGGTAGAGCCTTGTCTAGCAAAATAATAAACAGCTCTATCTTGTGTGGGGATCCCTGCATGTTCTGGGATTCATTGAAGGGCCACTTCACCTCCATGGTTCTGTAAACTATGTCTCGTACGAGTTCCAAAATTGCATTGGCCATTTTTGGGTCCAAAGAGCACCTCTTCACAATTTCAAGAGCACATTGTGAGCCGGTGAAGACTTTAACCACAGCATCTTTTATAGGACTTGATAGTTTGAAGTGCAGGAGGTTGTTAATTTTGCATACTGTAGCATATAGTGGTTGGGGAGGGGAGGTGGGTTTGGCAGAAAGAACGTACATTTAATTATTATCCTGAATTTCTTACACCTTAATAGTAGGCCAAAAGTTTAAAATGACTTTCGGCTGAAACTGAAAAAATGCCGAAAGTTAAAATTGACTTTCTGCCGAAACTGAAAATGAAATAATTAGATATTTTGAAATTTGTTCCCGCACACATTCTGCATAATGCATACATCAAAAATGATGGGGGAAAGTATAAATATTTACATTCTTTTTATAAAAAATGAGATAATCGTGAATATTAATAAATAAACATCTAATATTAGGGTCTCAAACTCGCGGCCCGCGAGCCATTTGTGACCTGCAAGACCATATTTTGCGGCCCGCTTCATGACAGAAAGGTTTAGTGTTAATGAGCCGGCGCGTTTCCCCCATTCTCATATCTCTAACGTGACTCTCCGCGACGTTTTCAGTTGAATCTCACCAACTAGTCTAATTCTGATTTTTTAAATTGTTTCTATATATTTTTGTATGATGATTATAATGGTAAGAACCATTTTAAAATCGGAATAAAAGTTTTTGTTTTATAGCTTTTTATGAGACAAACATGGCAAAGAGTTCGGTTTTGAGAAAAGTTTTTAAAAGTAAGTTGGCGGGTAATGCACAACCATAATTGTGTAAATCGTAGCAATCTGATACATTATCAAAGGATCCCTATTAAAATTGCCGCTAGTGTTTACGAGTGAGGTAAATTCCGAGCCTGTCAGCTTGGTCACTTTCTAAATCTTCTTCTTACCGTATGCCTTTTTACCCAGTCTGGGTCTGTGCATTTTTTAGACTTCAAAACACGGACAGCCACTTTTCAGCTTTTTGCTGACCCTTTCTTCTTTAATGTGCAAGATGCCCCGCTCGGGAGCTGAATGGAAAAACAGACAAGCATGGACATTTTATTGCATTGCCCTCCACCTTCCCTAAAATTGTTAGGTTGTTCAAGCGAATCATACGACTTTTTGTGAGTACATATCTGTGTGAATAGCTCTTTTCCACTATGCTCTTTAACAAGTCAAAATTCAGAGCAAAACTTACTGATGAGCATCTTCAAGCTATACTGATGGTCTCAGTTGCTTCCTCACTCAAGGCACTCAAACCAAAGTTGCTCAGCTGTGTAAGAAGAAGCGCTGCCAGGTCTCTGGCAACAGTGACTAGGTGGAAGAAAGTGAATCCTATTTCTTGAGAACACTTAATGTTTTTATTGTTATTTATAAAGGTTGAGCTGATTGTAACAGTTGTAATTGCTTTTTTGTGGAATACTTGATGCGGCCCAGTCTCACTCATACACTACCTCCTGCGGTCCCCCTGATAATTTGAGTTTGAGACCCTTGATTTTATGAATACTTTGGATTTTACCATTTTAATATTACAATTAATTTAAATTGCTTTACAATTTGTTAAAAATTAGTATGGTAGGAGAAAATTTGGCAAAAATGGCGGGGGGGGGGGGGGGGGGGGGTTGGGGAGTTAATGCAAAATAGACTCTTGAGTGCCTTTGCTTTTATAATATAATAACAACCTAGAACATATACCTACAACAATTATTGTGGCTCTAATAGAGCCAATTGCCACCTAAATATCTGTTATTGAGGCTATAAAAATATCACCACAATGTTTCGATGTTTTTGTAATACTAATGCTTTGTGTTTTCATTAATAGCTTGAAAGATATCACTGTATTAATATTCAACCTAGTAACAACACACTAGTCTTTCCGTGCTGTTTACGTAATTATTTCGTTCAAGACTAACCTCCCTCACTCCCATTGGTGGTGAAAATTATTTTTTTAAACCGAGTCTCTTAAAATTGTTGTTCTGATCATGGTTCTAAAAGATCACCTTAATTTGTTCTTAAAGATCGCTTAGTTTAATCTTAAAGATTGCTTAATTTGTTCTTAAAGATCGCTTAGTTTGTTGTTAATGATCGGTCAGTTTGTTCTTAAAAAACGATGAGTTTATTCATAAAGATCGCTTAGTTTGTTCTAATAGATTGCTTAGTTTAATCTTAAAGATTGCTTAAATTTGTTCTTAAAGATCACTTAGTTTGTTGTTAAAGATCGTTCAGTTTTTTGTTAATGATCGCTTTATTTGTTCTTAAAGATCGGTTAGTTTGTTCATAAATATTGCCTTGTTTGTTGTTAAAGATCGCTTAGTTTAATCTTAAAGATTGCTTAATTTGTTCTTAAAGATCGCTTAGTTTGTTGTTAAAGCTCGTTTAGTTTGTTCATAAAGATCACTTAGTTTGTTCTTAAAGATCATTGATTTTGTTCTTTAAAAAAAGCTTAGTTGTTCTTAAAGATCATTCAGTTTGTTCTTAAAGATCATTTAGTTTGTTTTATATATCTTTTAGTTTGTTATTAAAAATCGTTCAGCTTGTTCTAAATATCGCTTATTTTGTTGTTGAAGATCGCTTAGTTTTTTCAAAAATATCGCTTAGTTTGTTCTTAAAGATAATTGATTTTGTTCCTTAAGATCGATTAGTTTGTTCTTAAAGATCTTTTAGTTTGTTCCTAAAGAACATTTAGTTTTCTGTTAAAGATCGCTTAGTTAATTCTTATAAATCATTTAGTTTAATATTAAAGATAATTTGTTTTGTTCTTAAAGATCATTTAGTTCGTTCTTAAAAATCTTTAAGTTTGTTCTTTAAGATCGTATAGTTTGTTATTAAAGATCGCTTAGATTGTTCTTAAAGACTTTTAATTTGTTCTTAAATTAAGTTAAATGTCACTTAGTTTGTTGTTAAATATCGTTTAGTTTATTCTTCAAGATCGCTTAATTTGTTCTTAAAGATCGTTTAGTTTGTTCTTAAATTTCTTTTAGTTTGTTGTTAAATATCGCTTTCGCTGAGTATTAGATGACCGAAAACCTCAGTCACTTTCGACCGGATGGCCGAAAGTCTAAGTCAATTTCGTCTGAAACCGGAAAAACGAAAGTTAACTTTTCAGTTTCGGCTTAAACCGATACTTGGCCAAAAGTGATAAAATGGCCACTTTCGCCGCCGAAGCCGAAATTGGGTCGGTCTTTACTTAACACATCTAACAAATCCGACTTAACCTAAAAATTTGTGAAATCAATGATATTTAATTATTGTTAACATATATTTGTATTTCAATATATGGGGAAAAATAAAGTGGTTAACCTGAAACATAAATCATGGTTTAACATTCTACTCCTCCTCCCCCTCACCTCCCTGACGGGCCAATATTTTCGCCACTCAATGTCCAGAAAAACTTTCCAGTTAGCTCAAAATGGCGATCTATATTTAAAGAAAAAAATGATGCTCATAGCGGATTGCTTTTCCGACCCCTTATCCCATGCCACGCTCCCAGAGACTATTATATGTCATCCAATAATCTACAATTTGCCTCCCGGTGGGGGGTACGCCACAAGTTAGGATATAAAATGCGCTTTACTTATGAAGAGATCAGATATGACCAATAAATATGAAGAAATGTTTTGCTCTTTACAAGTACTTTGCTACAAAACTGGGGAACTTACCCAATATCTTCCTCCAACGTCTCACTACGTATGATAAACAAGGCATTACAGTCGAACTCGCTTATTTCGACCTCGGTTAACTCGCCAACCTTGTTATTTCGACGTTTTTGAAGTGGCACCGCCAAATTCTCTCTTTATCTTAGCGTTTTTCTCCTCAGTTATGTCGATTATTTTATGTCGCCGAAGCCTGATATCTCGAGCACAAAAGGCGGCCAAATTTGCCACTTAACCTCAGTTATCTCAATCCCCATGACCAATGGCCGGCTTTTGAAAATTATATTCAACAGAAATGTGCCTAAACTGTAGTAATTGAAATGAAATGACAATATTGTTATCCCCACAATTAACTTGACACAGCAAGAAGTGAGGAGCGAGAGGCTTGCAAACAAAAGAGAGAGGTCGTGGTACCTGTTCTATTTATAGCGAACCCGTTTGTTGCTAAATACAGGCTTTCACGCGTCCGTACATGGTGATTTTTTTTGAAAACTCAGAATCAGTATGTGAATAAACTGAACTGGCAAATCCGTAGCCAGAGAAAATAAAAACTTGTGAGTACTTTCTTGACTTTAATTACACTCCAGCCATTTTCACATAAGGAATGTGTCAGATTTGATTAACTTACTTTATTTTATGTACAGAAAGGAGGTGGTGAGCTGATTAATAATCCTCTAGAAGCTACTGTGCTGTGAGTATTTTATTTATTCAAGTAGAACTGTTAAACATTTTTAATTTTGATCTTGACAAAAGGTATTAATTACTCAAGTAAGCATTATAGAAAACCATGTTAGGCTAGCTTAGTGTATGTACATGTATTTATTAGTTAAATTTCATGATTTAAAAAAAAATATTAGAAATTTGAAATATGTTTGAAAATAGTGCATATAGATTTTAAAAGATAGATTCTTGGAGATTTTGCTTAAGCATGCATAAAGTAGGGGGGGGGGGTCTTGGCAGAAAATTCATACATTTATTCACAAATTTTGCAAGCATTTTCCTGACAGTCCATAAGTAGCATATTTATATCTATAATGCTGTAAAAATATCGCACACTGTTTTGTAGGAATTATCGTAGTATTGTTGCTTAGTGTTTTCAAACGTGAACTCGCTACTCTCGTTGTAAGTCTACTCAATAGTAATTTTTAGTTCACCGCATGTCCCTAGTGTCTATGACATACTTTGCTACGCCATTAGTTCCTAGAATTTTTTATTCCTGGCGCCCTTGCCAAAGTTAGGTTTGCACCAGGTGCCCTGTGCTAACTTCTTACAAGTACACTTTGAAATAGTCAAATTAATACATTTTAGAAATAGTAATATGAAGAGTTGAATAAATAAACTTGTAAGATATGTACGTCACTAAGTGTTATTTAGTAACTGCAAACAGCTATTAGTACTCAAGTGAGTTACCGTTGACACATGCTATACATTGGCATTGTGCCAGTGTGGAATCTGCGGCTACCCGGGGCAAGGCCGTGTTGAGAAACTGCTGTGCCTACGGTGAATCCTGTACGTGGTATCCCTTTATTTGTTTGACATCAAAATTATCTTTAATTTATTTATTTTTTGGTGTGGGGGGGGGGGTGAAAGGTCATTGTGCATACGCATCTATAAGGAGGGATGTTCAAAACAGTATGGGTGTGTTAGTGTGGATGGAGGGTAAAATTTTGACTTTTTTTCGGTACATACGATATGAATGACTCTTAGTTGTCTTGGACGTTTTCTATGTTTAGAAAGAAGGAAATATCTCTCAGACTGGATGTTTTCATTTTTTATTACAGAGAAGTTGCTTTTTGTTTCTTCAGGCTTTGTGAGACAAGAACTGACAATAGAATTAATAAGGGCTATTTGCCTACTGATTTCATTGTGGATTGTGTGAAGAGAGGTACATTTCTTGATATTGAGAAGTACAGGTAACTTTGTTCATTAAGAGAAGCTCTTCAAATTATTGATGAATGATTTTGATTCTAGTTTATGCAATTAATACTAAAAATTTGATAAAAAATATTTCATACCTTTCCCTCCCCTGTCAGTGTCAGTTTTCACAGTTGCAATTTAGATTTAACAAGATAAATTACACTTTTCACAACCTCTTTATTTTTATATTTTGACATATATTTTTTTTTGCATCATTTTAGTTTATTTGACTAGCTTGATAGAATCTTGATCTTAGGAGAGATAAAAAAAAAACATTACGATGTCACACAAATGTAGGACAGCAAAATTTAATTATTCTATAAAAACTTGGCTGGCAGTGGTACAAATAAGAATGCTTTTTTTAAATTGAGAACTTCAAACATTTTTGTGTGCATTTGAGCAAATTTAATCCAGTACTTAAAAACAGAATTCTCAATTCCATAGCGAAGCCTTTTGAAAGAAATTAAAGTGCAACAGTTCCTATTTTAGCAGATTTAATACCTACAGGACTTCAACGTAAAGAACCTGTCTACTTTCCCTCTTTGAATTTAGTGGTTGGGAGTAGAGGCAGATCAAAAGTGCTTTTCTGATTTCGTCCGAAACCAAAACTAGGCTGAAAGTTAAAAATGACTTTCAGCCAAAACCAAAAGCTTAGTGAGACTTTTGTCCGAAACCGAAACCAAAATTTTAAAGACACTTTCGGCCGAAGACAAAAATGATATTTAGATATTTTGAAATTCGTTCACGCATACATTCTGCATACATGGAAAATGATGGGGGAAAGTATCAACATTTACATTCTTTTTAGAAAAATGAGATCTTCTTGAATATTAATAAATAAATATCCAATACAGGGGTCTCAAACTCACAGCCCATGGGCCATTTGCGACCCCACAAGACGATACTTTGCGATCCACTACATAAAAGCAAAGTTTAGTGCTAATGCGGCCGGCGTGTTTTCCACATTCTCATATCTATAACGTGACCCTCCGTGACATTTTCAGTCGAATTTCACTGACTATTCTCATTCTGATTTTTATTATGTTTCTATATATTTGTATGGTGATTATAATAGTAAAAATCTTTTTTAAATCAGACTAAAAGTTTTTATTTTATAGCATTTTATGAGACAAACATGGCCATGTGCAATTTTGAGATAAGTTCAAAAAAGACAGTGGTAGGTAATGCACAACCATAATTGCGTAAATTGTAGCATACAGTATCAAAGAATCCCTATTAAAATTGCTGCTAGTGTTTACGAGTGAGGGAATTCCAAGCTTGTCATCTTGGTCACTTTTCAAAATCAAAATTCATTCTCCCTATATTAGCATTATCATTTGAACCAATAATTCATAAATGCTCCTGCCTACTGTTTAAACACGTGTTAGCAGTTAAAGCCTTCATGGAGAAAGATGGGGTTGTTCCTGTACTAAGTGATCCCAAATGACTCATGGACTTGGCTTTTCTTGTATACATTACACAGGAGCTGAATGTACTAACAAGAAGTTACAAGACCAGGTGTAGCTTATCACTGTTGCCTATGACAATGTCAAGACATTCTGCACAAAACTTGTGTTATGGTTCTTAGAGTAACCTCTGTCATTTTTCCAACATGCAAAGTACTCATGGACTCGAGCTCACCATTCAGTAGTAACTTAGTAGTAAGTATTCTGATGCCATCGCAAAGCTACAGGAAGAATTTGATCACATTATTTAGACTTCCAAACACACAGAGCCACTTTTCAACATTTTTTGCTGACTCTTTCTCCTTTATAATGTGGAAGATTGCCCCACCCATGATTTGAGTTTGAGACCCCTGATCTAATGAATACTTTGGCCTTTACCATTTTAAATTCGTAAAATTGTTGTTCTGACGGGTCTCGGCGGAGAATCGCAAAAGACATCTAAATTGGTCGCCGATATCATAAAATTAAACAGGTCTGCAGTACGCCCACTACATAATTTTAACATAATTATAATACGAACCTGTGATACATGCACACATATGTTATTTCGTCAATAACATTGTTTATGAGCATGATAATGATGAATTTCAAGAAATTAATGGTTTGAAAAAGGCCTAAGTTTCCTTTATTTTTTATTTTAAAAAATATAAAAATAAAAATAATGGAAATATTACCATTCCCTAGGATTATGCCATATTATTCACCTTTGCTTATGACAACATTGATGAGCATGATAATGATAAATCAAAATGAATATCACAAATGAAGGAATTGAATAAACCTAGGGTTCCATATTTTACTTTTGAAAAAAAATTAAAACAAAAATAGGGAAATAAAATATTACTATACCATTAGTTTTTCTTCCACAAAACTGTTGACACTTGCTTAGGGCTCATTGAAATATAATGTTCTGGAAATATAGGACAAGTAGATCATCATTCATCATGCAGCTGTGGGCAGTTTTCGCTGAGTAATAGTTATATAACATGCGATGACAGGAAGACGTCGAGCAATAATGAATATCGGATCGTCGGCCTAAAGACCTACAGACAGTCTGACTTCTGGAAGATGACCGAAAACCTCAGTCACTTTCGGCCAGATGGCCAAAAGTCTCAATCATTTTCGGTCGAAACCAAAATTAAACCTAAAGTTAACCCTTCTGTTTCGGCCAAACCCAAAATTAAGCCGAAAGTTAACTTTCTATTTTGTCCAAAACCGAAACTAGGCTGAAAGTGATCAAATGACCACTTTCAGCGCAGAAACTGAAGTTGAAATTCGGTCGGTCTCTAGTTGGGAGCAGGGAGAGACAGTTTGGTCCAGAGACTATCTATATTCAATTTTATTAAAGAGCTGAGCCCAGAATATGTGGGTGGATGTCAGAGACAAGTCATAGCTAGAAATAGTTATATAGTTACTGTTATAAATATTTTTTTATATTTTAAGACAGGAAACTCTTGGACTCCAGGCATCAACTTCCAAGGCATATTCTGAAATTTCAGAATCAGACAGTGATGATCAAGGATGGAATGCCATTAAATTTACTGAGTCATCGCGGATCAGAGTGAGGAAAAGGGATATGGCCGGGTAATTCAACTACATAGCTATTGATGTCAAATAACATTTTAGTATGAACAACTGAGCTTCAAAATAATGTTTACTGTTAATTTTGGAATGGTAACGGTATCTGGAATATTAATTTATGTGGTAATTTTTATTGTTGCATGTAGTTTTCAGTAGCTTATTGAAAAAAATTATTATAGCATTTATAGAAAACAGATTTATTTAATCATGAATACTCATGACAATTTTTATATTAATATGTGATGTTATTTTTCTTTAACATATGCTAAAAAACTTCTCACAAATTAGACAATATTGCCTAAAAAATGTGTACACAAGGATGATACCATTGACTGTTTTAAAAAAACAGAAGGTTTCAAACACAAAAACAGCAACATGTGTCAGCTGACACAAACAGCAGAAGAAAAGAAAAAATTAAGTCATCTTAAGGCCGAAAGGTATATAAATTTGAGAAATAGTTAAAAAAAACCCACAGTTTTTCATGTTTTTTCACGAACATATGATAGGTATTATATGTGGCACATTCATTTTTGTAGAATTTCTGAGTGGTTGGCAGCTGTGTAGCTTTAATCTGTTATCAAATTATAAAAGTTAAAGGCGCTCTTTTTCACTTTATAAATAATTATTTGCAGCCGCAAGAAGTATACTCAAAATGATGATATAAAGATCATGAAGCATCTAATAAATCACAACCAATATTCTCAGACTGGTGGGAATCTTGTGTGGAGAACGATGGAATCTGTAAAGGTCAGTGTAGTCAAATTTAATGAAATGTAATTATTCAAGGTCATTGATGCTCAAGATGTTTTCATTTTTGCAAACATCAAAACCAAGGGACTGAAAAATGGCACTGATATAAATACAAACGATGCCAATGATAGAAATACAAACGATACCAATGATAAAAATACAAACGATGCCAATGATATAAATACAAACGATGCCAATGATATAAATACAAACGATGCCAATGATATAAATGGGGCGCCACAGATGACATGAAAATCTATACTCTGTGTAAAATTAGCAAAATTAATTTATTTAGTAATTTTGAAAAAAAGACAGGAAAATTTCTGTATTGAGTTATAGCCCTTTGGACAAAGTTATGTCCCTTCCATGGAGCTATGGCCTTTTGATTATGCATTTGAGAAAGTATACATCAAAATTAGGTAAGCTGCAGTGGTTTAATAAGATTTTTTTTGGGGTGCTTTTCCTTGAATTGCTTAAGATTTCTTCAAGTCTTATTTCTTTTTAAAAGGTAACTGAACACACCTCCCAAAGTATGAGGTCAAGATTTCTCAAGACTATACTTCCAAACATAAACTCCTATAACATCCCTGCTGAATGGAAAGCCAAATTAACAGGTAAAGTTTGTACAGACTTGAGCAAGGGTTAGCACACTTTTTTTTAATGATGGCCAGTAAGAAATCCTCATGCTCTGGGGGCCAGATTGTTGTTGTGAACTATATTTAGGAGCGTGAATGTTGGTATGGAAAGTTGTTGACCGTGCAGGGTTTTGCGAGTTGTAGGTCGTGGGCTTAGATTGTGGTTTTGTGTTGGTGTATGCTGAGTGTTTGTTGTGAGTTGAGAAGAAAGTAGTCTGAGGAAAGGGAGTAGTGTGTTGGTGTATGCTGGGTGTTGTGAGTTGAGAAGAAAGTAGTCTGAGGACATGGAGTAGTGTGTTGGTGTATGTTGGGTGTTGTGAGTTGAGAAGAAAGTAGTCTGAGGACACGGAGTAGTGTGTTGGTGTATGCTGGGTGTTGTGAGTTGAGAAGAAAGAAGTCTGAGGACATGGAGTAGTGTGTTGGTGTATGCTGGGTGTTGTGAGTTGAGAAGAAAGTAGTCTGAGGACAGGGAGTAATGTGTTGGTGTATGCTAGGTGTTGTGAGTTGAGAAGAAAGTAGTCTGAGGATATGGAGTAGTGTGTTGGTGTATGTTGGGTGTTGTGAGTTGAGAAGAAAGTAGTCTGAGGACATGGAGTAGTGTATTGGTGTATGCTGGGTGTTGTGAGTTGAGAAGAAAGTAGTCTGAGGACAGGGAGTAGTGTATTGGTGTATGCTGGTTATTGAGAGTTGAGAAGAAAGTAGTCTGAGGACATGGAGTAGTGTGTTGGTGTATGCTGGGTGTTGTGAGTTGAGAAGAAAGTAGTATGAGGACAGGGAGTAGTGTGTTGGTGTATGCTGGGTGTTGTGAGTTGAGAAGAAAGTAGTCTGAGGACATGGAGTAGTGTGTTGGTGTATGCTGGGTGTTGTGAGTTGAGAAGAAAGTAGTCTGAGGACAGGGAGTAGTGTGTTGGTGTATGCTGGGTGTTGTGAGTTGAGAAGAAAGTAGTGTGAGGACATGGAGTAGTGTGTTGGTGTATGCTGGGTGTTGTGAGTTGAGAAGAAAGTAGTATGAGGACAGGGAGTAGTGTGTTGGTGTATGCTGGGTGTTGTGAGTTGAGAAGAAAGTAGTGTGAGGACATGGAGTAGTGTGTTGGTGTATGCTGGGTGTTGTGAGTTGAGAAGAAAGGAGTCTGAGGATATGGAGTAATGTGTTGGGTTATGTTGGAGTGGCAGTCATCTTGTTTTGCTGTTAGTCTGATAGTGGGTAGTGCAGTGCTATTTGTCAAGAATAAGATCAGTGCCATTTTTTGAACCTGTGCTTGTCAATGTAAATAAAGAACTGTAGTATTTTTATCCTGGAGTTTTGTGATTTAGATCCTAGGAGGGTATTGTAACCCCTAGACAACGTGGAGTCTACTGCCCCCTCAGTAAATGTTCATTCTGCAGGGGTTGTTAAATGTGGAAGGAGGAAGATCCTAAGTCATAATGTTAGGAAGATCGTCAAATTTAAAGTGGCCTACATGTGTGATTTAGTATTTTCCAAATGTCTTTTTTATCAAAATGCAACATGGCTTAAGAAATTGGTGTTTTTCTGACATATACTACATTAGTTTAATTGAGATTATAAAAAAATATTATTAGATAAAAAACATTTGAAATACACAATTGTCTTTTTTTCCACCTCATTAAGAAGTATGTAACCAGTGTTTCTGGCAAATGACATTTAGGCTCAAAGTGTATACTCTATCATCAAAATTTTAAGTGCTCATCAGATAAGGCTGCGCTGTAGTCAGATTTTATATTTTTTACAATGTCTTCTCACAAAAATAAATAGTGCAAAAGACTGAAATGAATTCACGATAAAGGCTTTTAAACGAACAAATTGATCTTCACTTGATAATCACTAATACTAATAGAAGGCTACCAACAAGTTTTCCTCCAACAAGAAGCTGAGACTTCTTGATTCTATTGGGTGAATAAGGTCATAAATTCCATTTTCACTTGTATATTAATAATGAAATTGTAGGTAAAAAACAATATAAATTAACTTATACGCATCTGAATCCGGCCCGTGGCCACAGTTTGTCGACCGCTATACTTGAGGACCAGATCTTCAAGTACCTTTAATTTTTCCATGTAAACTTAGATCACTAGTTTCATTCTCTAAATTGACATCTGATTTTAGATGGTTTATTTTGGATAGCAATTCATCTATACAACACCATAAGATTTCTCTCTTCCTAGTTATATAATCACAAAATATTAAGTCAAAGTGGGAACTTTTGTTACTATATCCAAGCATTATTTGTGCTGCTGTAGAATATTGTCATAATATTCAATGAATTGGAAGAATTGTAATTGTTTGACAGAAAAATTTAATAACTTTTATCCAGGTTGAAATAAAATGATAATTAAAATAAAACTTGTTTCTGTTCAGAATAACCTGATCTACTTAACAAACTAGATAATTTGCATATTATTTTTCTAAAGTGAGCCATCAAGAGTATCACCATGGAGGTCTTTTCACTCACACTGTGCAAATGAACATTCTTACAAATGTATATATATATTTTTTACCAAACCTCTGTCACTGAACACCTTGATTAACATTGTGGCAAACGTCTCCTTAAAAATTCTCATGTGGCATCTGAACTTTGTGTAAGTGGGATAATAGAGGGTGAGATTTTTATGAACTAAAAAATGTTGTGCCAAAAATTTAACCCAAATTTTTCATTGTCGACAGGTAAGGAAATGGAAGAAAGTGAGGACATAGAAGAAGACCCATCATTTAGCAACGTCGATGATTGGAAAAACCAATTACACCGACTTAAGCACAAGAAAGGTATTTTCTGTTCCATATTCATTTTTTAAAATCTGCTTTTCTAAATAAAGTCTAAAATTTTAACTCATTACATCATTTGATTAAAAAATATTGTGACTAATCTAAAATAACTTTTAAATGGGGAAAATCATTCAGCTTATGAGTAAATAGGAGAATTTCTGATAATGTCTTGAGTTTCAGTCTCTTATTTAAAACTATCGGTGAACTATAATTTTTTGTGTAAATAATTTTCCTGATTTAGTTAACAAAATACTTGTTATTAATCTAGTTTTTCCATATGAATTGAGAAGCATAAAAATTAAATTGGTGTCTATTTCAATGGAGAACAAGATTTACATAATTTGTCATTGTTGGTGTTCTAATGTGTCTACATTATTGGATTTTATGGAAAATGTTTTAATATTAATTATCTTACTGAATGTCTAAAGTTGTCATAAAAAGTAATTAATATCTTTCATTTAACAAAATATTATTTCAGATCTTCAAAAAATAACTGCTTCAGAGGATCACGAAAAGAAGGGTCAGAATAATTCAAAGGGATCTGTTACCAAATCACCTAGGAAAAGAAACCAAGTAGATGAGACAAATGATTCAGATGTAGATGATTTTTATGCACTGGGTAACCACAGACATATGCAGACGTGCAAATCCAATAAGATTAAGCTCAACAGCATGTGTTCGACATTTATAGAAAACTCTCCTAAGAAAAGGAAGACAGCTTGGGTTGAAAGTAAAAACAAGGCTGGCACATATCAATCAGGTGATGGTGAGTTTGTCACAAATAGCTGTGAGGTAGCTGCTAGTGATAACCTACCAGAATTCAGGGGTGATGTTGCAACGAACAAGCACAAATCCAGTCTAGTCAAGGAGTCTGTTAAAAAAAGTTTTCGAAGCATTTGTATCGATGAGAGTGAAGATGATACCAGTTACTGTAAATCTTCTAATGTACATGAACCAGATGACCCCACAGAATCTAATGATGAAATGGATGAATCTACATTGGTAGGTTTGAAACCATCAGCTTTTATTTCTGGCAAGTGCAAAGATAACAGACCTTTAGAAAATATCAATGTTGATATTGACTCCGACCAAGTGATTGATTTAGATAGTGATTTGGATTCTGAGGATGAAATCGATAAAGAGATAAATAAATTTGTTGCAACACGAAAACAGAACGGAAGTCTGACTGCAAATTCTGTTAGAGGAAAAGGTAGAAGAAATTTGTGCTCAGATAATGTTTTCATTAATAAAGCTAGGCTTTTGAATACTGATGTAAATTATCCCAATAAAGTAACAAAAGTTAATAAAACCAAAGTTAGCTTTGAATGCTTCTGTTATTCTACTTTAAACTACCTAGACATAGAATTTCAAGTTCCACCGGTATTAAGAGAGAGAATTCTTGTGATAGTTTGGCTCATATAATTATAGTTGATTCCCCTGATGATGAAGCCTATTAAGCAATGTTATTTTAATACTGCAGAACCCAAAGCACAGTTACACAGTAGGAAAGAAAGCAAGAACACCAAAGATGTGCAGGACAAAATGGACACATCTACAAAGTCAGTGAATGATGGTGAAAGATTATCACCAGAAATTGAGTTTGTTGAAGACTCATTACAAGGTGGACAGAAGCTAATTAAATTTCCAAAGGGTAGATTAACTTTCACTATCTCATCTTTTAGTTGCTGAAGAAATTGTTCATTTTTTTCTTTACATCACAGTTTTATAAAATTTAGAAAATAGTACTGTTTGACAATAAAATAAAAGCTTTCAAAAATTAAAATAATTAAGTTTACTTTAATTGGATAGTAGTATTTGTACTATTTCAGGGTGCATGTAATAAATATATATAACTATATTTTAAATATCTTTTTTTAATTCTTCAGGGCCTAGTAGACATTACCCTAAAGAATTACTACTAGACATTGAGGTAAGATAAAGTTTTGAATTTTATAATTTCCACTACCGTAAAATGGGGTAACTTTGGCCTGTTGGGGTAACTTTGGGCCAGGGGGAGAAAAAAGATTTAAAATTGTATATTTATTTTTTGAATTATTACTGGCAATTGAAACTAAATTGTGTCAAATATTAAACCATTTCAAAATATTTTCAATCAATGTGCTGGTGTCCTATTACATTAGGTGCAGAAATACAACCATTCTTCTTTGGCAGCCATTTTGTATTGATTTTTTCAAACTGCAAACTTTGTATTTTTTCACAACACAAAAGTAAGTGTAAGTATAATATAATTATATAATATTGTGCATAATAAGATGCTTTAGATGCTAATTATATTATTTAGATATAATTTTCAAGATAAAATAAAATTAGGCATGTGGCCAATTTTACCCCAATAAATATCACTACTTTGGGGTAACTTTGGCCATGTGTTAGCCCATTGATTTACTTATTTTTTTGAAACATATTGTTTTCACGTTAAGAATTTGAACTAGTACTTTATTCAGTGGAATTTGTTGTTGTTTTTTTCCTAGGCCTTTAAATTGAATATTTTGGCTCTAATTTAGAGTACCGATAATCTCAAGTCGAAGAATGGTGTTTTCACGTTAAGAATTTGAACTAGTACTTTATTCAGTGGAATTTGTTGTTGTTTTTTTCCTAGGCCTTTAAATTGAATATTTTGGCTCTAATTTAGAGTACCGATAATCTCAAGTCGAAGAATGGATTTATTTTAATCTGTACCTTATATTTGTCTTATGCTTCAGACCCAGCCATGTCACGCACATACAAGAAAAAGCCTGGGACCAGAAAATATGCCTTGTGTGATGACGAACAACTCCAGAAGGCCTGTGACATGATAACAAGTGGAGCTAGTCAGAGCATTGTGTGTGCTGAGTTAGGGATCACGAGAAGCACTCTTCTAATGGATGGTATCAGTGTCAATGCTGGTGACAATATTAGGGCTGGATTTAGAAAATCTGGAATTTACCCCCACAAACCTGTCCTGAAGCATATTCCACACAATGATGAAAATGAGGACTCAGTCAACACATCAGTTGCAGATTCATTCGTATCTCACCTACAAGAGATGCAGTTTGGCAAAGAGGATGAGGTAACACAGAGACGTAAGCGTCGTCTGGATGTTGAGCCTGGAAAAAGTGTTGTTGGGCCTTCTGAGGATGAGGTTATAGATACTGACACACATGATTCTCCTTCTCCTAGCAGCACAGAGAATGTAATTGCAGACCAACCACATCATGATCTTGCTGCTAACCTTTCTGAACATCAGACAAGTAGTGATTCTGATAGTATGGGCAACATATCCTTTTCTGATTCAGATGAAGAATGGCTACCAGCACCTAAGAAAGGCACGTTTACTAACATTTTTGAAAAGTTTACTAAATGAACATTATCATTCAGTGTTAATTTTTACATTTAAAAAATATCTTTTGTGGCCAAGGTAACCCTATTTTTGTCAAACTTTGTTTTTGTATATTCTTTGTATAGCCTGCCAAAGTAACCCCATGTTGGGGTAACTTTGGCCACTAATAATTTTTTTAAAATAATAAAAAAATTGAAGAAATAATCGTTTTTGAATTATTTGTACTTAATCATACTTAATGGTAATGCTATAGCCCATGAGATAAACTATTAAATTCATAATTACAATTACGGGTATTGTCGAAATATTCAATGTTTCACATAAAATGGACCAAAGTTACCCCATTTTACGGTATATGATTTGAAAAGTTAAAAACGCAGTCTTCTATTTCTATTTTTTGCCATTTTTTATAAGGTTACTGGTAAGTGTTTAAAATTTGGAGAAATACAAGACTTTTCATGATTTATCAAAGTCAAAGCAATTATTGCACTTTCCTTTTGCCAAAACATTATTGATTTTGTAAAAAGTTAAAATGTATATCAAGTTCAAAATGTTAAATTTGAGGAGACTTTTAATAGTTATTTTTCAACATGTTTCTATTATGTAAATAAAGGCAGTCTTTCACTAAGAATATCTCACTGCTCCACAGTACCTGACGAAAAGATTTGGTCTTACTAAAGCTTATGCAGCCCATCTTCTAAAGGCCCACAGAGGTGACATTGTGGCCACTCTCCAATTTTTGCGGACTTAACTATTAACATTCAGCTTAATAAAATAAATAACTCTTGGCTATGCAGAAAAAATATTTGTATCTAAAACTGTGTCAAGGATAAAATAAACTAATGGCAGCTAGTTGATGAACTTTTATATGACTATATCCTTATGAATGTTCTCATTGCGTTTGTTAAAGTTAAGTAAACAATTTAGAAATAATAACTACTATTACTACTATGACCTTACATGTTATTTTTATGGCCCAGCAATGCCTGATGATTTCTGGGTACGGTACTTATGTAAATAATTTTTTAAATTGAAATATGTCATTTCATGCTAATTATTATTTTATTTTTTTTTAAATATAATCTTTTTCTACTTTCTAGTAATTTCTAGATGTAATGTATTTGTTTTTACGTATAACGTAAAGTGTAATTTTGCCAAATTCAATATTTCTCAATTTCCACGAAATGAAAATTACTAGCAAATGTAGTTAGGATAGTGTATTCAAATCACATAAATAGGGTTTAAGCATAAATGCAAATCTAGCTATAGGCAGAGCTAACAGGTTGGTGACAAATTTCTTTCTTGAAAATGCATTTTAGTAGTTTAAATACAGATGACACCTTAATCTATATATAAAAAAAACTATGTCTATTGAAACTGCTTAGTACCATTTAGCCCCTTGATTTAGCTTTTCTCTCTCTCTCAAATGGTGCAGCTGGACAGTGGGTTTGTAGTGCATTGATCTGGAAGTCATGTCATTAACTATATTTTTGCACCACATGAAGTTCATTGATTGACCTTTCCCAAGGATTTAATGTTTATTAGAACAAGCTTGTCAGGCACATGTTAGGAACCTTGATAAAGCTATGAGGATATCATACCCTAATCTCCCTTATGGGCAATCATAAGTTTCATGGTCGGGAAGAGTGTTAAGGCCATAAATATAGCAACCCAACATTGTGTTCATTAGGAAATGGTGTCCATGAGCCAAAGCACCCCCCACCCCAGGTCCCCTATCAGGCTGCAAAGTGGCATGTTGGAGATTCTTCCTGATACAACAGTCCCTGCCTGTACTTCACTCAATTGACTAGTCTCACTGGGGCCGTTTCAGCCTAAGGACAAAAGGTCAGTGATGTTGCCTTCACAACACTGAAATTTTCTTTCCCATATACGTCTTTTAATACTATCTCTCCATGTCCATCCTGGACAAGTGTCACTCCCTCTGATAGGGTTTTCTACAGTGGATTTCTACCTCGCAAATAGGAACAACCTTATAATAAAGATGAGTGGGGCATACATGCAGATGCCTACACCTATTTTTTTTTTTTTTAAAGAATCATTGTTACGTTCTTAATAATAACAAATAACAAATGAAACAGGAAGAATTTAGGTCACCACATGAGTAAATATTTTATTTCATTTCCACAAATCTCTCTCATTACCAAGGGACTCCTTGTTTTGTTCAATAAAAAATTTAATTCTCCAGGTCATTAGTCATTTTTCTCTTTTCACCAATGGTAATGTTGCTTTTTACTTGATCACTGGGACTTTTTAACCTAACAAATAAAAAATGTTTATGTCAATGCATATGTAAGGGCCAATAGTATTGGCAATGAAAGATTACTTTTAAAAAATAATTTTTTAAAGTCTTTGTTAGACTTAGACTGATCATCAACATTTTACAGATTAAAGTTGTATACCTTTACAAACAAAGGTTTCTCTTTTATTCCATATTTTTGTTTCTCTACAGACTATTCATGCTTTACTAGTTGACCATACTAAAACACTCTCACGACTTTCTCCATCAAATAAATTATAACCTTTTCACAAAAATTACTGATACCAGAAGGACATACAAAAAGAAAATACAGTGAAACCTCTCATAATGAGTTTAATTCATTCCAGACTCTTACTCGTTAAGCGAAACACTCATTAAATGAAACAATTTTTCCCATACAAATCAATGTAAAATACGATAATGCTGAAAAAATACTAATTTTTCAAAAAATTGTATTAACATTTATTCAAATAAAACTACTTATGAATTGTTAAGGAGTGTAACAACTTGGAATACAATTTAGATTTGAAACAAAAAACGTAAATAAAAATATGAATTTATGACAAATAATTAATCCTTTTTAACTAGAAAACTGTCTTAATGACATTTGTTTTTGCCGACGATTCAAAATTTGACGAAAATGTGTCACAGCATTATCATTGAATAAATTTGATGCACGAAGAGCCACACTCACACATTGTTCTTGCTTTTCAATGATTTTACGTTTCATTTCAACAGTTATTTTTCCCTTTTATGATTGTCTTGTGTTTTTTTTTTTGAAGACATTTTAGCATAGGTTATTACACTTAGCACATAAAAAAAATTACGAATACTGTCTGAATACAAGATTTGTAATAAATGGTGATCACACACGAAAACAGACGAGTGCTAAACACAGACTAATGCAATGGTTCTCAACCTTCCTAGTGCCGCGACCCTTTTATACAGTTTCTCGTGTCTTGGCGACACCCCAGCAACCTAATTATTTTCGTTGCTACTTCATAGCTGTAAGAATATGTGTTTTCAGTTAGTCTAAGGCGACCCCTGGGATAGGGCCGCGCTACCCCCAAAGGGGTCTCGACCCACAGATTGAGAACCACTGGACTAATGCATCGGTGCGGAAGTCCCGGCTCACAAATGAATATCAGGAAAAGGGACTTCCCCTTTCTGCGTAACTCGTTATGCGAAATATCGCTCGTTAAGGGAGCAACTTCTTCAAATTTTTTTTGCTCGTTATGCAAATTACTCATGAGAGGTGCTCGTTATGAAAGGTTCCACTGTATAACGTACAGCTTCTGTTCTAGGTTAACTCAATCATCTCCTATTCTACAGAAAAACCTCTTGTATAAACTCATGCTTTTGTATAAACTCATGCTTATTTAGAGCTGTCAATGCGTGTCTAGATGGTAAAGTGATTGAGCACATTGGACATGTGAGTGCTGACCTGTTTTCATAGCTCAAGTATTTTATTTTAAAAAATGTTCTGAAAATCAATGCCTTGCTGCTCGCACATGCACATCGTCAGTTTCTTCATCTTCCTCCTCCAGAATAAAAGTGACGTTTTCATTTTCAGAATTAGCTTCAAGTCTGGAGGGAAATTTTTAAAAAATGAATTGACAAAGAAATGGGAATGGTCAACGTGTCTCATTCATACATCAGCACTCATAAAATCTAGAGAAGTGAGCCTCATCATAGATTTTTAAAATAAAACTATGTTTAAGGACATATAAAATTATAAAAAAGCTGGCCAGTTAACAGAATGAGGGTTGTTTTATACCAGAAAAATAATAATAGTGGTTTCTGGTACTTACTTACCTTATGGTAGTCATTGGATTAAATAGAGGCCAATCTACTTCAATTATGTCCACAATTCTAAATACTTTCAATGTAGTTGTATAGCATTTAAGTTAAGCATGCATCAACAAATCAATGATAATACCTTAGCTTGCGAATCTCAGCAAACACATCATAATCATTTAACTGCGAATGCTCATGGATGCCAGGATCTAAACCTCTTTGTCGAATCAATTCTTCCAGAACAGCTACCTGTTGCTGTAAAGCAGATCAAAATAATGACATGGGATTAAGGCTGCGTGTCAAATGTCAGCACTTATGATTAAGACTGTGTAACAGTTGTGATTAGGGAGTTAGTAGACTTATAGTAAAGCATAACCTAGAACTAGAATGGGTGAAAGTTATACAAATGACCCTGAAAAAAGCCCTGAGAAAAATGGGCTGAAATAAAATATTATTTTTTGCAGTGATTAGTTTTATCAGTGCTTGCAACCAGCATACAGAAGTTTGCTAACTTTTTATAAATTGGGAACTAACATCGACACTATTGGGTGCTACTCATTTCAAATACCGGGTATTGATAAAGAAAAAAACATGAGAATATGCTGTTATGTTTAGACAAGAAAGAGACAACATAATTATTTTATTTATATGTGAACAAAATATACAAATAATAAATACTGGGGTTAGTCGAAGCCATTTACAAGCAAGAGCCTCTTCAGGTGTCATTAGTGGAAGTGTGTGTTTCTGAGGTATATCAGCCCTGTTAGAAAAAAAGAATAATTTAAAAACAAATATATATTTTTTTAAAGTTTTAGAAGCAAGGCTGGGGAAAAGAATTGCTCCTTGAGTAAATAAATCACTGTTAAGACATAATTTCTAAACCAAAGACCATCTGAAGACAGATAGTTAAGGGGTCTCTCAGGTGGCATCCAATCTAATCAAAATCCTAGTTTTATAATTAATGAGAAATAGGTTGGCTATTGATTTTTCATTTCTCAATATTTTACTATACTATATGACCCGTAAATTATTATTATTATTTTTTTTTTAAATTGTAAAAAAAAACAAAAAAACTCTTACATTCTTCCACTCGAGTTGGACATTCGATCATCTTCTTCTTGTTTCAACATTTGGGCTTGAATTTCAGCCATGATCCTCAGAGTTTTAGCATTGTCCTCTCGGTTCTGAGACATAAATAAAGTCAGTGGACTGATAGCTTTAAAATATTGACTCGCTTGCATAATGGTGCTCTAGCTTTAGGGTATCCCTGAATAATTTTAATTTACCCTGTCTCTAGCTAGATTTTTTTGTAATTTCTTTGATACACATGTTTGTTTGGACTTAAAGGTCAGTCAATGACTAAATTAAATATAAAAAAGAATGCCTGTCATTTGTTTCATGTCTCATATTTTTCTTTTCTTATAAAAAATCTCTACATAACATACACTTGTGATAAGATAAGTATGCAAAAAAACAGAATACAGATTTTGACCAAATAACATATTGTGTATGTTAGGGATAGACCTGATGATGAAAGGATTCATTTTTGGTAAATGCAAAGTTTAGAATAAAATGTTAAAAAAATTAGATATTTAATTGTAGGGTATCAATTAAAATTATTTATATATATTGTTAGCTCATCTGTCGATAATTGATCATGACCATTATAAACATGGGATTGGTGATCGGGTTTGTTCTGAATACATAAAATATAAAAAGTATTTTTGCTATACAAAGATTAATGGACCGTACTCAAGTATTTTTGTAATGCATGAAAATGAAAGCGTAAAATTTAATGCTGTTGTAAGGAGTTAGAGGGCTAAAACTTACTATATACAACCCAACATCTGTATCCCTTGATCTTGAGGAATTGGCTCCTAAAATTTGGAAAAGAGATTCCGGTAAAATATAAAATTAGACCAACAAATTAATTTTATTTGTATTTTACTTGGCGAGTGATACAAGAAAATGAAGGACTGAGGATGTTTAGTTTACCATTAACTCTTTATGAATTCCTTTAACTTGAAAAAATAAATATTCATTGCTGCAATTGGGAAAAACATTTTAACTAGCAGACTTAAAATATACTCAGATGAGAACAGAACAATGTATACTCTTACTTTCAAGAAAGCCAACATGTGGCCAATGCATCAAATTCATGGACGTTGACTATATGCTTTATGCTATATGTCAGATGCTCTCATTTTGGAGGGGAGGCTTTTGGCAAGAACTACTTTATGGAAAATTACTCAGTACATTTGTGGCCTTTTTTTGGTGGGGGTATAAAGAGCAAGTTTATTGGCTCAAAGATTATGTAAAAATACCAGATCAAGTGATTGGGTTAAGATACTAAGTTCTAATCATTTCCACAATTCAGACAATGGGTAATCAATAAATAAGTTATGAAATACAAACAAACCCATATAATTTATGCCAGAAAGTTTTCTTGTCTTTGAGTCATCTGTTTCCTTTGATCTGAAAAATGTAAATATATGTACACAAGAAGCTATCCAAATGTTAAAACAGAAAGGAATATTTTAAAAATTGTTATAAGTATTACTTATCTCCTGTGACATTTAACAAATATCATTATGTAAGTTCTTAACAACAGGAACATATTTTAAAAATCCTATGATAAGAAAGTGAACATTTATTAAGATCTTAACTTTAATGGACTATAACTATAAAACCACTGCATTAATTTATTTTAAATAATCCAGAATTTAAAATATTTACATCAGAACTCTAGAAATAATGAAATCTGGACGCTCTCATACATTCGAATTCTAGAAATAATGAAATCTGGACGCTCTCATACATCCGAACTGTAGAAATAATGAAATCTGGACGCTCTCAAACTTTTAAATCCCAAAACGTTTCAATGTAAATTGAAATATTATTTTTTTTTTTTAAATGTAATTCAGAGTCAAATATTTAATTGAATAATATAACAATCCAAACCCAAAGAATAAAGAAATGTTTTTTGGGAAAAGACCATAATAAAGATAATGTCTCTTGCTTTGGTATCCCCATCGCCATAACCTCTAATTAAACCCAGAAGAAAACAATCATCTGACTATGTATTCAAGCTTTTTGTTTGATTGGATTGTCCAATAGAAATAAAAACATGTTATAGAATTGTGATTTCAATAAAATATAAAGACAAAACAAAATGAGACTTTAAAATGAATTCATTGTATACCTTAAGATACGTCCAACTCCGGGTACACTTAAAAAAAAATAAATTTGTTTTTAAACAAACTAATACAATAATTCTCAAATAAATAGGCACTCAATAAAGTTATACAAAGAAATAAACTTACTCCTTGTTTCCTGCAAAGCATTTTTATCGCAGTTTATCTTTCATGTTTGGTCATTCCACATTAAGATGTCATACTATTGTAGATGATTTTTTAAAAATAAAGCACAGTTAATGAGCTTTAAGATCTTTTAATTTATGTGAAAGTGAGTCATATCATATTTAACAAGTTGAATTAATTTGACTCAGTTTTTAAAATTAGCATACTTACGATATGTAACCTAACCTTCCTCCAGTGGCCCTTGTTCTACGGAAAATAAATTGAATGCTTATATTTAATGTAAGGCATATAAAAGTTGGAGACTATATTTTTCCAGTCAACACAGGACCTTAGTACTACACAAAGATCTCTTGTCTAATGATTGCTCTTTAGATGATTATTTGAATCTGTTTCGGCACAGATAAGCAAATTTGTTTTTTAAACAACACATTTTTTTTTTAATACATGAATGGTTTCAACACAAATTAAATGACCCTGACGCTACAAGTTTGGTATCACTGCAACAACTGATGAATAAATATTACTCATATACACTTTAAGTGTAATTAACAAACTATAACTGGGAAGAGGACAAAAACTGACAGGGCTGTAAAATATGACAAGAACGGTACAAATCTGACAGGGCTATAAAACATGACAAGAATGGTACAAATCTGACAGGGCTGTAAAACATGACAAGAATGTACAAAAACTGACAGGGCTATAAAACATGACAAGAATGGTACAAATCTGACAGGGCTGTAAAACATGACAAGAATGGGCCAAAAACTGACAGGGCTGTAAAACATGAGAATAATGGTCCAAAAACTGACAGGGCTGTAAAACATGACAAGGATGGTACAAATCTAAAAGGGCTGTAAAACATGACAAGGATTGTAAAAAACAGACAGGGCTATAAAACATGACAAGAATGGTACAAATCTGACAGGGCTATAAAACATGACAAGGATGGTACAAAAACTGACAAGGCTGTAAAACATCATTAGGAGTCCCAGAACGTGACAGTAGACATCAAAATTACAGAGGACAGTGCTTGCACCAAGCTTTCAAGGGGATTGCACAAAAATTTAAAGGTTTCTAAATAATTCCCCTTTTGTACGTAATCACTGTTTCATACAAAATACTGGCCATCCATGTGTTTTAAAAGGACATTTGAAAGCGTACAATTCACTGGGATAAAATTTATGTATTTTTAAGTTTTTAAAAATTACCTGGCAGACTCTATCATAGCTTGGGTGGTCTGGACTTGAGTTGGTTTCTTGCTTTCTGCACGCCTGTTTTAAAGGTGAAACTTTGGTAAGAGAATTAAAAAGGGAAAATTGAATGAGTAAGTATGTAAATACAGATGGTTTTGATAACTAAAAAGGTACTGAGCAGGGTGAAGAGTAAAGTCAGTAAATATGTAAGACAAATAAAGTGTTTTGGGCTGTAATGTATAGGTTAAGAAAAAAAAATTATTAAGTGATTTAGTCAAATGAGACACTGAAATAAGAATTTAACAGTCATTGACTGACTTAAAACAACTTGCTTCAAGTCAGAAGATTTTCCTTATTTAAAAAATGATTATTGGTAATTATTCTAGTTTTATTATTTTTTAATCAATAACCATTATGGATTAAAAAAATCCCCACGATATTTATGTTGATTGTAGTGAGCAAATAAATCTTGATAAATTTACAGATCAGAAGAATGTTAAAATAAATATACTATATGTGCCAGAAACTTTTCTAATTAGATTAGAGATGTGGTTTATGAAGTGATCAATATTATCTGTTATGATGAAAGAAACACTTACGCAAAAACACTTGAAGAGCTCTTCAGAAGAGAGTCTTTACGTTTTTCACTATTTGTTCGTCCCTAAGAAAAATAGCATTCAAGTTAATGATGCTGCAGCTATTTGAAAAATTTTCTCATACAAAATTCTCTCATATTAAAAGCTGATTAAAGACAATGAGGCCTAGCAAATTTCTTGTTTAAACTTGAAAAGATTACACAGTTTTGTTTTACTCCGCTATAAAGAGATTGACAAAAATATGTGGAGACGGTTGTGGGCATAAATAATGTGAAAACACTAAATTAAAATAAAAGATACTGATTAGGTAACAATAGTTTTCATGCATGACAGAGAAGAAATAGAAATAAATATCTGTAAACATAGAAAAAGTTAACATAAAAAGCACTTAAAATGGATGTTAAAAAATAATGGCAGCAAAAATAAATAATGGCATTAGAGATGTATACATTCAAACTGATGCATACATCCGCATTGTTGCTTAAGTTACTCCTCGAGCACCTTGGGGCACTGCAGAATACAAAAGGAGGAGCCAATGCATTGTTGTTCATGTGATGAAGGTATTTCCTGTATTTCTTGGAATCCATCATAGATTTAAGAGTAGCCAAACAGATCTCTGTTATCCTGTGGCAGAGTGATAGCATAACTGTCAACCTCATCAAATCTTACCGTTTTTAAACATTCTTGAATATAATATGTTTTTTCAATAAAACAACCAAAAAAAAAATAATTAAAGAGGGTAATTTTAGACAAGAGTTATTAATTTTTAGACAATAAACTATTAAGAACCAACAATTCAAATCACAAAATTTTTTTAAATTTAAAGGGTATAATACTTTTTAAAATTTCTTCTTTCTTTCATTGACAAAATTCTGAGATGAAAATTAGATTGAAATAATAAATGTCTAGCTCTAAAAGGCTCTAACCTCTCCATATCTGAAATTTCCTCAAGTGAAGTTGTGTTGATTCCTTTCTTGATCTCTTTGTGCAGATCAAAAACCATCTTCCGTTTTAGATCCTTGTGTTTTCCAACTGTCCCATGTTTACTAGACTTTGGTGTGCTAGGGCCACTTGCCTCCAAATCAGACATCTGATAACTGGGCATCCTTGCCAAAGAAACAATAGCCAGTTTTCAAGAAGAAGAATTATCCAAATCTATACAAACCAGTCAGCCACGTTTCAAAAAATGGTACCTCCTTTTACCTTAAGTTGGTCTTAAGCTTTGCAAAAGCTAGATTACCAAACATGAGTATTTATGTGAGACCATTAAGGAGAGTTAAGGATTATGTAACTGTATATATATATATATTTATATATATATACTTTGACATTTTCATTCTTACTTAGATGTGTAGATTGTATTCCAGTTCTGCATATTGTTGAAGCGTTTGGTAACGTTTTTCCCATGTATGTGGTAGGTATTGTCTCTGGTTAGTCTTGGTGATGTAGTAACAGATCTGAAAATTCAGTTGATATGTAGGCCTAGTAGTAATGATTATGTATTTTTAAGAACAAAAGAAAAAGATGCTACTTCAATTAACTTGAAATGAGAATTGTCTATTTGTATGAACTTTAAAGGGCCATTTTTAATCAACTCCCTCAAGTCCTGGAAGTTTAAATTTGGCAGGCAACTTTATCTCATTGAAAATTTTAATCATTCAAATTTTGATGCATGCACATATCATATTGGTCATTTCACAGGTAAAAGACATATCTTGAGATGGTGATTGTCAAGGTCATGAAACCAGAGGTTGTGTGTGTTGTGATTTGTAACAATGGGGTTATGTGAACGAGTGTGAACTGTTTTCAAGTCATGGATGGGTGCGTGAAATTTGGGGGGTAAAAGGGGAGACAACGATTGTGAGTGGCAGAGTGAACTAGGGATCTTGAGAGTGAGGGTGAGATCAAGTGAGCGACAGAGAGGATAGTATTTTTAGTTAGATTCGCTGTGGGACTTTTTACCTGAAGAGAATATTGTTCTGCATAATATGTATTCTCATGTCTCAACTTCAATGTGAAACCACTTGATGTTTTAGTTCGATCAAAATAAACGCATTATGTACCATGAACCTTTAGTGTTGTTTCAATCACACTAGTCCGAGTTATAACCAAGGAGTACATGCCATCGAAATAGTCGCTAGCATCATAAGGCATTTAGACAACAAAATATTTGACATAAGGATGGAATATTTTGACAGTGATCATATATTTCAATTTGATATATATAAAAATTCAGCTTTAACTCTTGTTACTTACCTAGGAGTATCATGCACAGGACATCTGGACATACCACCCTATAAAACAACATAGAGACAAAACATTTACACATTTATTTTCTTGTTTTCTTAAAACAATTGTCATTGTTAGTATTTTGAATTAACTAAAGACATTTTTAAAAAACATAATCTAATCTGCTGTTTTCAATCTCTGTTTCACCATACAGCAGAAAGGTTAACAAGTGTGTTGTTAAGATTTAAAAATACAATTTTGGGGGAATTATAACTAAGAAGTAAAAGAAATGGGACGTATTATATAATCCTTAGAATGCCTTCTTTCCATAACAACTTATCTACATGTTTTATCACTTCAGTATGTCAAAATTGTTAAATAATAGATTATATCATACATATATCGTTATATAATAATAGCATGCATTTTATGAAAATGATTTATAAAATTGGCAAGTTGAAATTTTTTATTCTTGTGCTGTTAAAAAGTTAAATTTCAATAAATAATTCTTTTTATAATCTCTCTCTTCACAATAATTATTTAATCCATATAACAAAACATAACTAAATATTTGGTTTTGCTTAGCTCTTTAATAAATTTCCTTATGTACATTTTTTGTAGTTACATCCAAACTAAACATTTTAAGAAAATAATATTTATTGATTCTGGAGTAATATATTACTTTAAGATTCAATTTAATTAAAATACCTACATCTATGCCAAACTCTGATCTGTGATAAGGTTTTGTGTAACTGATGGAGGACTCCCTTGGCAATGATTTTGTTCTGCAAGATTAAAGAGAAAAGTTTTAAATTGCTAATAAATTTGTGTAATTTTTGTGTGTGCATAATACAATAAACTTATAAAAACAAGATGCTCTGTATTCAGTTATAGTTTGTTTATTTTTTATAAATTTATCAATTAAGCGTCATTAAATGTTTTATAATTAGCCAAAAGGTGTTTATTAAATGTAAAGGGAAGTAGCTGCAGCAAAAAAAAAAAAATTAAACTTTAATTTTACCCTGATGATATTTATTCAAAATTTAAAAGCAAGTTTTAAAAAAAGATGATTTGGATAAGATTTAATAGTCCCGTTTAACAAAATATTTTGTTTTGTTTAGCACTTATTAGGTCTAACTTATATATAATTAGCAGAAATCTTGGGAAAAGTTATGACATGAAGTATGAACTGTTATAATAAAATAATTGCATTTAAAAAAAAAAAAAAAAAAAAAAAAAAAAAAAAATGTAAAAAAAAAAAAAAAAAAAATAAAAAAAAAAAAAATAAAAAAATCGTTTAACAAAATATTTTGTTTTGTTTAGCACTTATTAGGTCTAACTTATATATAATTAGAAGAAATCTTGGGAAAAGTTATGACATGAAATATGAACTGTTATAATAAAAAAATTGCATTTAAAAAAAAAAAAAAAAAGAATGATAATTGCATGTTAAGTAACTACCCAAAAAAATTTAGTTATGAACATGAAAAAAATAATACTATAACAAAAAAATAGTAAAGGCAATTGGGAAAAAAAAAAAGAAAAACAATTATTATTCCCTTATTTCTTTAAAAAACTTTTTATGGATCATTTATAGGCTACAAGCAAAACTCGAAGCAAGAGTGTTTGACTGCAAATCCAATAAATTATATTTATATTAACATAGGGACCTTCATTACTGACATCACACTAATTGTTGTAGATTTGGAGACACCACAAAATTTAAACACTCTCAAATACATCATGATAAATTCATGACCCCACCATTCCCCTTTAGATGTTTGATGTCATTTATGGACGACCTCATATATGAGCTACATTAAGTTGGTAAATTACCGAGTTTCTGGAGTCCTGGGTGTTACCATTGAATCAGGAGATGAGTTTCTTTTCAGGATAAATGTTTTGCTCATCCTGACCGTGTCTTTAGTGAGGAAGAGTGAATGGACGGGGATAAAATAGGTTGAAAGAAGCTAATGCTGCATATGTAGTGTGTTGAAGAGACTAATGGTCACTGAGTATTCTGTTTATGCAATGTGGTGAGGGGGTCACGAGTCTGAAATTTACTGTGGGCGGTGGTGCAAGGAGAGGCTGCTATCTGTGTAGATAGGTGCGCCGAACAGCTGATGTCTGGGATGAGCATTTATTCTCAGATCAAGGGCGGGTGGAACTGCAAGTAAATTAAACGAGTAGGAAACAGGAAATGTTCAAGGTGATTGGAAAGTCGTGAAATTTGGGTTCTTGTAGGCTGTAGCACCTGAAAAATAAGAAAGAAAAGAACTGTGTTAAGAGTTAAGTAAATTATGATAATATTGAGCACAGAAAGTTACAATACTAATAATATAATATAATATACCTTACAATAAGCTGTTTTTTGTTGTTGTACCTATTAATAACAAAACATTCAATTTTTAAAAAACTAAGAAAAGTAATTATTTTAAATGAATTCAACGCCTCAGATCAGGATTTTGATTATATAAGATATGATTGGTCGCAAAGTTGTTACCCCAACTTTGGTTAATAATACGGTAATTAATATTAATGTTATTATAAATTTTATTTTTTAATAAAAGCTAAGGTGGGCATGGATTAAGTCATATACTGGTATGGAAACGGTTATCCTGTATTTTTCAGTTTTAAAATGTTAAATAATAATTAAAAAGTGTGCAATAGCATTTAAATGTTAAATGATAATTAAAATGAAAATGTAAATGCATTTAAAATGTATCAATATCATTTACTCAATGTAGCCTACTTAGGTAGGCTAGGCTACACACACGTTATTCAGACTTCAGATTCAGACCAAGGCTCAAAAAGGGATTATGATTACAAGCTAATTCAAGCCCAAGCAAAATCGGGACTAACAATAATTTTTAAAATTTATAATTAGATAGGCCAATTATTATGAATAATAAAGTTAAAGAGCTGGATCAACTAAAGACGGGACTAGAGCTTTTCAGAAATGTAAATTGTTTAGTAAAAAGTATCTATCACTGATTTATCAAAGCTACATTGACAGTAGCGACATGACAATGACATAAGATATATTTTTAATTTATTTACCAACTTCACAAGGAAAACAATGCTGCGGAATAAAAAACTTTAAAAAACCTGGCATCGCTTATTTTTTTCCCAGCGAAATGCGTAATGTAATATAAATCGCTTCCTATTAGTCAGCAAAATTACGTCTTTATCATACCCATGAATATTTTCATTATTTAATTTCGCAAATTTTAAAAACATGATCCGAATTAAATATTTTAATAAGTTTAAAAAGCTAGAGCGGATTATCGTTTAGCATGCAGCATACACTTGAAGAACTTACTGAACTACACTCTCCTCTCACTATTTATACCACGAAAAAAACATGGACTTCACTCTTAAATTCACGGACGCGCTATAAATTGAATGGAGTAATGTTCTGACAAAGCCTTGATAGGTTTAACACCATAACAACTGCTTTGTATGTAATCAGAGCGATGAATCAGAGCTGAGCACCACCGCCATGTTCAGTCTAAGCTATACAAGATTGACTCCATGACGTCATAGGTGCCACGTGACGTCAATAAAGGTGAAAGAATTGGAAATTCCCGTTACAATTTTTAGGTGCGAATTATTTTCTTGCCTTGCATAGGGGGGATAAAGAAAAGGAGGTCCTTTTTATTGATAGTTCGAGGAATACACCCCTTCCCCCTTTTCCAACTAATTTATGAAGTATAGAACCCAATTTGTGTAGTTAGGTGAAAAGATAACTGAAAATTGTAAAGAGCACGATGAATATAATTCACTCTTTATTTAAATGATATCTGGATATAGGGGACACATTTTAAACTGTAGCAAAGGGGTCGTTCATTAATTATGTTAAAAAATAGGGGTAGGGGTGGAGGGTTTTTGGAAATTTTTTACAATTGTTGACAAGGGGGGAGGGGTGGTTTAAATTAGCTGACGTCAACAATCATGTTTTCTCTATTAAAATTTTAATCTTAGAATCAATGCTTCTATTTTAAGCGGTGAATGTTTAGATGAGGATGATGTTGACTTGTCTGGTATATCAGTTCTTCTCTCTTCTTATGCCTTTTTACCCCGTCCAAAAGAATTTTCCATTCATCACGATTCTGTGCTTTCATTTCCAGTTATTTCCAGGTGTATCCCATATTTTGCGTGTCTGCCTCTAGCTAGCGTCTCCATGTATTCTTTGGCCTTCCATAAAAACACCAAAGGAATTAAATAATTTAAGACAGGGATCTCAAACTCAAATCATCTGGGGGCCGCAGGAGGTAGAGTCTGAGTGAGACTGGGCCACATCAAGTATTCCACAAAAAAGCGATTACAAATTCAATAAAGTACAACTGTTACAATCTGCTCAACCTTTCGTAATAACAAATAAAAACATTAAGGGTTCTCAAGAACTAGGCTTCACTTTCTTCCTTCTAATGCTTGTTGCCAGAGACCTGACAGCGCAAGTGACCAAGCTGACAGGTTCGGAATATGCCCTCACTCGTAAACAATAGCGGCAATTTTAATATGGACTCTTTGATACTGTCTCAGATTGCATCGATTTTCACAAGTATGGTTGTGCATTACCCACTAACTGAATTTTTGAAATTTTGAAATATGTATAATATTCGAAGCGTGTTTTCTCAAAACCGCACTTTGACCTTGTTTTTCACATAAAATGCTATACATTAAAAAAAAAAATATTCTTAATTTAAAACGGTTTTTACCATTATAATCAACGTCCAAATCTCTACAATCACAATTAGACAAGTCGGTGAGGTTCGACTGTAACTGCCGCGGAGGGTGACATTATAGACAGATATGAGAATGGGGAACACGCGCGGGCCGCATTAACAATAAACTTTGCTGTCATGTCGCGGGCCACAAAAGATCGTCTTGCGGGCCGCAAATGGCCCGCGGGCCGTGAGTTTAAGACCCCTGAGATAAGATATATATAAAATATAATTGTGACGTCACACGAATAAAAAAAAATGTGTCGCGCGTTTATACCGCCGACAGTTTGGCCAGCCCGGTGGTCCCCTAACATGCGTCACTCTGGGTGCCATGTAACCCGCGTGCCATGAGAATGGGGCAAAAAGGCCAGTCACAGCACGTGCCAAAATCTTCTTTATATGGGAACTTAATAGTGAATTAAAATATCGAATCCCGTATACTTCAGAAAGACGAGGGGAGCCAAAAATCTTCTTTGTTTCAGATCCGCCCCGGGGGCACATTTTCTATTGTTTAAGAGGCACTATTTTCCGGCTCCGCCTGAAATGCATTATTTCCTCCGCAGCGCACAAACAACAGAACTAACAGAATAACTGAAAAGTAGTACCTGAGAGGGCGGCAAAAGAATGGTGAAAACCTACATTTGGCATAAGCGCCGGGAATCGAAACATTATAAGAATCACTGAACTAACACATTGAAGATACGGTGGACGAAATATTTATTTATTTATTTATTTAGGCATTTTTATATAGCGCTTATCATAAAGTTAAAGCTCTAAGCGCTTTACAGTTATTAAAACATGTAAACTAAGTAAATGGGTGAAAGCATGCCTTGTTTAGATGCTCCACCCCGAAAGACTGACACTCCCCCCCTCGGTGAAAGGATGCCTTGTTTAGATGCTCCACCCCGAAAGACTGACACTGCCCCCCTCGGTGAAAGCATGCCTTGTTTAGATGCTCCACCCCGAAAGACTGACACTCCCCCCCTCGGTGAAAGCATGCCTTGTTTAGATGCTCCACCCCGAAAGACTGACACT